GGGGGGGGCACTTGGCTGAACCCGGGAAAGGAGGCAGTGCCCCCCCCCCCACGAGATAGCTGAAAGAAACCCTGGTAGTGATACCAAACTGTTGTATTAAAATTGTTGAAGGCGTAGAGCTGATTTGCGAGTTATGAAAATATTTTGTAAATGTCGCTGACTGGATCTTATAAAATATGCAAAAATCCAACGCTCCACTGCAGAACAGTAGGATAATCTATTTTATTTTTAAAACCATCTCTATTTTTACAATCGCCGCGGTTCTGAGGAACAAAATAATTCTGTAACAAAACTACGTCACACGCTTGGCAGCAGTCAAAGGCGATGGTGAGTGAAGTTGTCGCTAGGGCGACAAGTCTAAAGATTACTGTTGACGCAGCCAGCTAGTTCACTGTGATCCCATCAATACGATACGTCGCGGTTATTTATTTATATCCTTTGACACTCCCACCAATCGCCTACCCATGCGTGTCTCGTATGCCACAATTTCCGTAATCAACAACCCCACCTTCCCAGTCCCCATGAGTCCTTTCGAAATATAATAAGGATAGGCCCAACTTAAAAAAAAAAAAAATACAACCAATCGTTTTTCTCGTTCATATTCACTGCCAGATCTTCATTAGAGAGGGCTAAAACGCCCAAACCCGAAAATTTATTAATTTTTTTAAATGGGGGAAAGACAAATTTCCACCGGGTCTCTGAAAATTGTAGTTTGGGCGGGTCTTGGCGTACAATCGTAAAAGACATCTAAAAATCGTATATTGTACGCCAAAATCGTAAGAGTAAACAGGTCTGGTATTGGTTTCACAAAATGGAAGTAACATAATTTTTCTGTCTAAAACTTAGGGTATTTGATTATCAAAATACAGCTTTACTCATATTTTTAAATATATAGGTTTTTTGGCATAATTAAAAGAAATTAAGCAATCAAACATTTCTGTTATAAAAAGTTGACCCCGTGATTCGAGTGCAATGTGTCATTATTTCCATATAATTCATGTTACAGACAAACTCTTAATGTAAATCAACATTTCATTTTCATTCGACTATACCAATCACTTATTTGTCATTAATATGAAGACATTTACTTACCAATCCTGTACCTTCACATCGTGATTCGTCTGCACTTAAATATTACACACGCACAATGTAAAAACAAAACTAATCACACGCCGCTACAAATGAACAGTGCACAGATCTAGTCCGTCGGTCAGCTTTCTTTGAACCTGAGACACGTGGTGTGAGCGGTTCGCACTTTGAACATCATTTATATAAATTATGGATTTGTCTTGCTTTAACTACGACATGGAAACTAAGAAAAGAGATAAATATTTTTTGAATACCTGGAATTTTGAAAATCTCGGTTTTCATAAATCCAATCCCGTTTTTTTAGCATCCGTTATGGTCCGGTATTTTTGAGATCCTGGATTGCAACCCCTGGTGCAGACTAGAGTTAGAGTGATATCATCCTTTATCCAATTGGCTAATTTGGAGAGATAGCACCCTGATGTCATTTGCGTGTTTTGTCCCTGGTTCTGATAGGGTCAAAACTCTGGTTCTCTGATAGGGTCAAAACTCTGGTTCTCCGAAAGGATCAAAACCCAGGTTAGGGATAACTTTAAGGTGCAGGTTAGGTTTAGGAATAGATTTAGAGTTCAGGTTAGGTATACATTTAGGACATACGTTCGCGAGTCACGGCAACCAAGATGGCGGCCACGGTGCTATCTCTCCAAATTTATCCTTCAGTCCTTCACTTTTTAAAAATTCAAGTGCCTCCTACTCCTAGGTGTTCATTAAATTTAGATCTTAACTTTTACATAATAAAAGAAAATAAGGCGAAGATAACTTACACGCGGCAGCACAACGGGAGGTTGTTGATAAATTTGCCTCCTTTTGAAAAAGGTTAAGTCTTTTTTGTCTTGCCAACAAAAATATTGCTTTCCTCAAGGTCGCCATTTGTTTAGCAGCAGCAGCTTAAATTAAATCGAAGAGAACTTCATTAGTCTTAGCAGTAGCTTAAATTTGATAAAGACCTTTCGTTGTTAAATATTCCACACATCATTAAATTTTTTATTATAACTTATTTTTTTTTTTAAATTAAACAGTTAAAATTTATTTTAAAAGCGTTAGTTTTTAAAATGTTAATATGTTTGTAAATTATATATAATCATTAATTAAAAATATCAAAGAACATTAAAAAGAGCACCTCCCTTAGTTGGTAAAATGGCGTCCAACATACCTTGGATGACCCGTTTGGTTCGTATGAACTGCTTTGCTAAACAAAGAATCTACCCTATTGCTATTTCAATCTTTCAAGACGGAAACTTGGTAATGATCTCTGAATAATTTAATGGCTAATTTGGAGAGGAAGTACCCTGTTGTCATTTGCGTGTCTTGTCCCTATTACTATTAGTATTTCCGATAGGGTCAAAACCCAGGCCCAGGTTAGCGATAAATAAGTTTAGGGTTCAGGTTAGGTTTAGGGGTACATTTAGGATATAAATTTGCGGGTCGCCGCAACAAAGATGGCGGCCGCGGTACTTACCCTCCAAATTTACCAATTTAACCTATATTTAGCCTGGGCTAATCCTAGTTACAATTGCCACGACTTATTTTCCAAGGAGTGACTTCCCTTTATTTATTTTAAGTAAATTATCCTTTATTTATTTTAAGTAAATTATTTTAGGGATCGATTTAGGGTTCAGGTTTGGTTAGGCATAGGGATCAATTTACGGTTCAGGTTAGGCATAGGGATTGATTTAGGGTTTCAGGTGCAGCATAGGGATCGATTTAGGGTTCAGGTTAGGCATAGTATAGGGATAGATGACTTCACGTGACGTGTTAACCAAGATGGCAGCCATTGAGAAAATAGTGGCAATCGTAGTCAAAATTTACCTTAGCCTGTTTTATTTTTAAATCTTCTAAGCAATTGAAGTCTTCATCCTGGGACAGTGGGCTGGACAACCCATCGCCGACGGTAAAATTCGTTTTAGCGATTTTAAACATTTTTTCAATGTTGAAATCTCAATAGTGAATTTACATAGGGCGGGTAATCTTGCAGTTCAGGTGCATATATTATTTCGGATCGAATTTCGTATTAACGCAGGTAAACTTGCGTGTATTCTCATTAAATTAAATCCAAGCAGTGATAGTTAACTAATACTTAATTAATCAGGGCTTATTTTCGTTTTATTCTAAAGCATCTTTGAACATCCCCCAACCTTCCATAGCCCCATTTGTTGTTTATTTTTCACTCTTATTGCCAGATTTTTGATCACCTAAAAGTTGGTATGCTAAAAGAAATTTTCAAATTGTTGGCATGTTCACAAAAGACGAAAAAGAATGAAATTAGTGGGGGGCGGGAATGTTTGAACTTAATTAGATATTTCGTTATTTTATAGGGGCCCAAAATTCTTTTTTTTTATATACGGGGTGTATAAATATAGTTCCAAAGTTTGGACCAAACAAAGGCTCCTGCATGGGCATGGGTGAATGGAACTTATGCTATCGGGTATGTACCAATGGGGGCTGTAAAAATCAATGAGTAGAAAATTTAGTATTAGTGTTAACTAATACTATCTGGACTAAATTTTATAAAGAATACACGTAAGTTTACTCGCGATAAAACGAAATGCGATCAGAAATGATATACACACCTGAACTGCAAGATTACCTTTAGCTAAGTATACACATAAATTTGATAACTGTTAACTTAGGCGTAATCAGTAAATTTAGACAGTCCACACCAGCACGTTTCACTGTCGCTATCTTTTGCTATCTTGGTTGCCATGACCCGTGAAAGGTCGTGGGGAAATTCACACAATCTGCGCCATAACGTTTCTCTTGTCGTCATCTTGGTTGCCATTACCTGTCACAGGTAAGGGCAATGAAGGTGGCAGCCGTGTAAGTGTAAAAAAAACAAATGTCTGCTAAAATGGGGAGGGTAAAGGGAGAGAATGTGCTTGTTTAGCTATTTACAGAGAGAAATGAAAATAGGAACAAAATGTTAAAATTTAATGATATAATTTCAGCCCATACATACATTTCGTGGCAAGCGAAGCTACTTTATTGTATCTTGTCAAAAAATTGTCAAAATACACTGAATACAGTACTACTCCCATTTTCCAAAATGTCGGAAAATTTATTTAAATATTATATAATTAAACAACCGGTGAAATTTTAATTTAAAACATTCCATCATAGTATTAAAGAAAAGTTAACTCTAGTAACAACCCAAGAATAAACAAAAGGGAGAGAATCCTACACAGACACACGTTATGTTATGAATTGTCTTAATGAGCTGGGTAATTTACTAAGTCAGCGTTGGTTTTGAAAAAATCTTGTTCTAGTTTCAAGTGCTATTTATTTTCTTTTATTGATGCCCATTAATGGTATTGTGGGTAATCTACCACTTGAGCGTCTGGTTATAAAAAATAATGTTGTTCCGGTTTGAAGTGCTATTTTAACGGTTATTTATTTATTTATAAGAATTGAATAAGATAAAGTTCTTTTATTGATCCAAAACAATGTTAAAGTTTTTTATGACACAGTACACATTCATTTCTGTGACGTAAAATAACAGCAGGTGGCAGATGGGTAATTACCTATATTATAGTGTATAATGCAATCCATGTATAATTCAAATTCCTTTTTCTTTTGAAAAAATAAATAAAATGCTATGCCCATTGTTACACATTGACTTGTATTGGGAGAAATTAATCTCATAATCTATATTTATGGCTCGTTTCAAACAGTGCCTAATAAAGGATGATACCATATAGAAATACAATAACACAAGTACAACACCCAAAACAGTACCAATTACAATTAATAAGATTTAATTCAGTAATAATACAATTATAAACAAAAGAAATATAATTACAAATCATCAACTTACAGAGTATGGTAGAACTGGTACCGGTACACAATTAGTACAATGTGCCAATGAATGAAGAATGCGAATAAACACGTATAAGCACACAAAGAATAATACACGTCTCGTAACATTAATAAAACCTATCAAAATCTCCATCTAAATCTCTCTCTCTTTGTGCCTGTCAATCCTTTATATATGTGGGTCTACCGACGCGCCTAGAAAACCCCTTTACTTTTCTAGAACAAATCGAGATCATTCTACAAAATACTAGGAGACATGTTTAATTGGTAAACACGGTTGTAAACAAGATAAAACGAATAGGCCATGCCAACAACAAACGCTAACGTCTGCTAGGGATCTAATTTGGGTCAAGCAAAATTCAAGCACGGGGAATGTGTGCTACATAACACCCATGTATAATGCGACCTGTTAAACCGGTTCCACAACAATACAATAAGTATTAACGAAATAAATATTTATGTGTACGAAAAAAGTCAAAATCCTTTAAATTGTGATAATATTTGAAATGAACTATGGTCACTAATACTAATACCACTATGCTAATATCCAGTCAAAGGGTTGCTACTTATTTTACCGGTGTTACGCACAGATATGATGCCTAATGTCAGTAGATCAACATGGTTCAGTTGTATAGACAGGCATTAGTAGACCTTTAAATCGTTTACTGGAAATGAAAAATTTTGTATATTTTATGCTTGTATAGTTTTAGTATCATTTTTTACCCAAAATTTCTTGCATTACACACCTGGTAGGTATTAAAGAAGAATTACTTATAACAGTACAAATTTTCTTCAAAATGGGCAATTATGCTGATTATGCCTTTGTCTGATTTTTACCACCTTATTTTCAGACACTAAACCATGTTGTTCAACAACAAAGGACTTATGATGTTAAAAATGACTCTACAGACCATGGAGAAAATTTCTCAATATCCCCTCCAAAAATTGAAAATAAACCTACAACAAAGACCATAACTATTAGCCGTGCAATGAAGGCCTATATGGAGAGGGCTAAATCCCATGGTATGTAAAATCAAATAATGAATCAACTCTGAAACATTAATTTGGATTAGGGGGCATCCATAAATGACGTCATTCGAATTTTGACAAATTTTGCCCCCCTCCACCATCTTCACAAAATGTTAGCCCCCCTTCCAATATAATGTTACAAACCTCTGCAAAGATCCCCCCTCCCCCAGAAATGCATCGGTCCACTACTGTCCTTTACAAACCCTTACAAAATCACCTCCCATGGATATCGAATTGCTGCACCTGTGGGTGAAAGTGCGGAAGACCCAGAATATAAATTTCATTTGCTGCATTTACTAGTTTTTTCTGCCTTTGAAAATAAAATTACTTTTTTTGCATTTTGAATAGTAGCAATAAATGTTTTTTCTGGTGAATTTTGTTTGTGCATTACTCATATTTGTATTTTGTTTTTCTTGTACATGGTATTTAGAAAATTAATTAAACAAATAAAGCGACAATAAATAAATGATTGAATTACTTTCATTTTTAAAATGTTTCTACTGTTTAAATTATACAGTGGTGGGGAGGATTGCGGACTATGTTTAGAAGTTGAGAAGAGATGCAACAGAATCTCTGGCATAGAACATTACTAAAAAGTCCGCACTCGCCCCAAAATTGTTCATTTTATCTCACTTCCCACCCGTGGTAGCTCCAATTCTGACATTAATTCTCTCGACTGTCAATGTCACTACACCCATTTTCCCATCCTCTATGGCAGCCTGAAACTTGATCAGAGTCCATTTCTTGGACCTCACATACCTGTACTGATTCTCTCAGTGATCATAGTTATTATTAATTAAATTGTTTAAAAAACATAAAAAATTCAATCTGTTGATATATTTTAACACTGTGTATATTGATTTTGTTCTTTTAATTGAAATCGTAGCAAATGATAAGACATTGCTTTTCTTTGAAGAGGAACTTTGTACTTAGGAAATAATAGTTATACCTCAACAATTACATACCTTACACTTAAACTTTTTGATTTCTGAAAAAAAATCCTTTTTTTTCTCAGATAATATGATGAAAGCAGAGGTGGCTGATTATGAAATAGGAAAACGTCATCTTGCTAATATAATGGGAGAAGATCCAGATAATTTCACACAGGCAGATGTTGATGTAAATAATCTATTCTATTTTAAAATCCTTTATCTTAACTTCGCCAGAAGTTTACCCATTTACATTAATGCTTCTTTAATGAATGATAAATGACGTACAATTACAAAATGAAAATAAAAATTCATAAAAAGGATTTATACAAAAAACTTTGTTTAGAGGTTGTTTAATTAAACAGCTGTTTTAAAAAATTGTCTTAAAATATGATATATACAGGAAATTACTTAACAGAATGAATTTATTTAAATGTGTTAACGTGTCTATAAAGAAGTATTTTCTTATTCAGAGAGCCATTGAGTATTTACTACCTTCTGGTTTATTTGACAAGAAAGCTCGACCCCTTTTAAAAGTAAGTTTTATTTTTGTAATTACTCATTTGCTGGGTGACAATTATTTATAAATTTTGTTATAAGTACCAGTAAACTGATATTTTTTAAAAGATTGATAAAGAAATAATTGCTTGACTTGGAAATTTTTGCTCTGGGGACTAATAAAATTCTTTCAACTTAATAAAAGACATTATTGGCTGAAATGTTAGGTTACCCGTGCCACTTTAATGGAATCAGTTCTTGTCTATAAGATAATCAAATAATTCCATATAACTCTAAAAGGAAAAATCAAATGTTTGGTAATTATTAAAGTCCTTTTATGTAAACTAATATTCCCTTTTTAACAAATCTCATCCCGAAAAATAATCTAATTTTTCAATGCATATTTTATTAAGTAAAATTTAAAATACAATTGTTTTAATTGCTTGGTAAATGTAAGTCTTATTTTCTTCATCTCTAGAATCCTTATGAAATTTTTCCTAAGAGAAAAGGTAAATATTGCATGACAAATTATTTAATCTATTTTACTATTAGGATAAATTATTATTGAACTAGTTAACTTAAATAGCATTGTATCAAAGGAAACTTTATAAAGGGGGCTTTTCAAATGTCTTCACAGTACAGTCTCGACCTCGGTTAACTCTCCAACCCTGTTATGTCAACGTATTTGAAGTGGAACTGCAAAATTCTCTCTTTGTCTTAGCATTTTCTCCTCGATTATGTCGATTCTTTTATGTTGCCGAAACCTGATATCTTGAGCACAAAAGGCTGTCAAATTTGCCACTTAACCTCAGTTATGTCGATCCCCATGACCAATCGCCGGTTTTAAACTCCGCAAGAGGAAATAGCAAACAACAAATAAACAAGTTTTTCATAATTAAGAATAATTATTTATTTTTCAAAATACAGGAGTGAAAGAATCCTTAAATCTATTTTGTAATGATCATCCTCCTTGTGTGCACAAAACTGACTATACTATAATAAATTCATTGTCACTCCCTTACTTAGACTTAGGAAACTAGATCTCCATCTGACCCCGTAAATTACTGGCATAGATCGGTCACAGGTTTAAGGTCTGTTTTCTTTCATCCGAAAAATTTATTGGCACACACTGCTGTGTGAAGTAAGTAATATTACATTTATTACAGACCTATTTTTTAAAATATAACTTACATTTTATAACATTCGTTAATAGAAAGAAGGTCTAAGTATGGGCCTAAGCAAGCTATACTAAAACTAAGACTAAAATGAGTACTTCACAAATAAAGTATTTATTATAATATTAATATTCTAATCGTGCACAGGATATATACTCTAATCAGTCATATTAAATCTAATATAAAGTAACTTAGTCCTAATCTAGGCTTAAAACATTTTAGGCTCAGGCCTTATAGCCTATTAATTATTATTGACTTAAATTATCAAATTAGGCATAGCCTATAATTTAGGCTTTATTTAGTGTATTAGACTCATTATCATTTATTAACGCACATCATGTGCATAAAGATATTTCAAGCAAATTTTAATATATTGCCGCCATAATGGTTTTCGTTTATCTCGGTTATCTCAACGCTGGGTTCTACTGTATTCATGAAAGCTTTTAAGAAAAAATTCTCAGTTTTTGACATCAATCTGCTGACAGATGATAATTTCTGTACACAATAAAGCACCTTATGTGTATAAGGTAAGAACATATGAATATTATTATGCACTGACTTCTTAAGTGCAACCTTTCTCTGGGAGTATTTAGTTAATTAAAAAAATAGGTTATCCCAAACGCCCCTCGCCTCAATCAATTTGGATTAATGTACAATTAAAATTAAGATATGTAAGTTCTGTTAATTGTTTTGCTAAAGTACATTAAGAATACCAGCTCAGTAAATTGTAAAACATAAATAGAACAATCTTTGTTTTTTCCACAGTTGCCCAGTTCAGTTTAGATGGACGACCATTACACTGGCTGTACTTCACAGCTCTGCCAAATTTCTACAGTATTCTCCATGTAAATATTGTAATCTAGATTTAATCAAAGGTTTTGAAGTGAATGAGGTGTTATTGCTGTTTTTTTTATTGTTTATTGTAAATTTTGTTTGCCAAGATTTGAATAGATAATGTGTTTAATATCCCATGACCGACAAAGTAAGTTTATTAAATAAATGCCTTCCTAAAGCAAGCTTTTTATAATATCTAATTTCTTTTAGGATATCACTTGTAAGATGGAAGATTTAAAAGCCTTAGAGGACAAACTTCTTTCTGAGAACAAAACTGAAGATCTTAATGTGCCCCCATTGTAAGTTGGATGTAAAATTCATCTAGCTCTTTTTGTTTTATTGTATAAACATAATATGTGCATAATGTATTTTTTTATATCTCAAGATGAATCTACAAAGTCCAGTACAATAATCAATTTTAGTTACCCATCTATTCATGTGGACTGTAAAAATTCCAGTGGCAAATGTCTCTATATTTTTTGGCACCACATAATTGTGAAAGAATAAAATCTCTTAGCAATTTATAAAACAGAACCAAATGAAGTGTTTCCAGTGATTATCTTAATTTTTATTCTTTACAGAAATCTTGCCAGCAGTGAGTGGTTAACATATCAACAGTTAAAAGACAAATTTGTAGAAAAGGTTCAAGAAAAGGATGTAAGTATTGAAATAAAAGCAATTGACATTATTTGAACATAAAATCGCACATCTTCTTAGATTTTATCAATGTTGTTGTTTACATTGGTTACAAGCATTGTAGTCTAATTGGTTAATGGGAGAAAAAGTTTATTTTTGTTTTTTGTGTGCATTAATTCATTAAACCATTTTCTTGCAATTCTTTTTGCAGTACCAACACTTCCTAGTTATGATGGAAAGGCTGGTGTCTCATCCTTTATCTCACAGAGAGCTGCCTTTCATCATGGCGTTTAGAAACATGTTAACAAATGAATCTTTAGATACAAATCCCCCTCAAGTGAGATACCTGTGAAATCTTATTATTTTCCTTAGTACCCCGGTAATTTAGTATATTATTATTTTTTAATTTTAAAGCAAGAGAAAGTCATTTAATATGACAGACCTTTAATTTTAACACAAACCTTTTTCTATAAAGGTGAAATTTTATGTTTTCACTATTTTCAGATGTGAAATAATTTGCAATATTATTTACATAGTTAAAATTGTAATTAAGTAGTGATTTTTTTACTTTTTTATACATTTCTAGATCGAGTATGATGCAGAAGGAAGAAGTTTTTCTTGTGCTGAAGGTAAAGTTTCTTTTTTTACATATGCTGTATATACTCGTTATAAAGCTCACTTTTTGTTTTTGGAAATATATTAAGGGAACAAGTGGGGTGGTCAGCTTAAGAGCGGGTTATTAGAGATTTTTATAATTTTCTCCTGTCACACTGAATATTGAAATAGTTATGGCTGAGGTCCTAGTCTAACCTATGCATAAGATTGAAATAGCCTACCAGAAGCTTTTAATATTAGTAAAACAAAGATACTTGAGGTCGATGGCGCCTTTATTCACAGACACAATTTAAATAGATAAAAAAGTCTATTGTAATGTATGCAATATTGGCCTTCATTTGTCCTCCTATATTCTTTGATACAGTATGGCTTACACTACCATATTATTTTTAACTTAAATCTATAGAATGCATATCCAGGGGCTGGGAGATTATTCATGATATTTGTATTTTATTGTTGCAATGTTTAAGCGGCACTGCTCAGTATCCTATTGATACAATAAGTTAAACCTATCTGAATTTTCGTAAAAGCATAACAATGCAAACAACAGAATTTTCGTAAAAGGCTTACAAGCAACTGAATTTTCTTTAACGTATTACAATCAACAAAATTTTCTTAAATAAATTACAAGTGATTATCGGGATGTAAAGTAAAGGGACTCCTATAATAATTTTTATTTTTTTATATCTCAGGAACCAGAAAAGATTCCTGGGCTTATGTTAAATTGTACATGCCAGGGACTGGAAAAGTAACTATCAATGGAAAAGATTTATCCTACTTCACTAACTTCCTTTACAGGTGAGCCAGCTGTTATATTGTTTTGGTCAGTCAATCACAGAGCAGATATTTAATCCTAGTTATGTTAATATAATATTGATTTCAAAAAACATTTTTACAACTATTTGGATGCTAATGACTATGTTTACTGAATGAGCTGTATCTTTCCCAGAGAGAGTCTTTTATTCCCACTAAGTCTGGCAGGTGTAATTGGTCAAGTTGACATTGAAGCAGAGGCCATGTATGGTGGACCTACGGGCCATTGTGGTGCAATCAGATTGGCTGTTTCCAGAGCCTTGTGTGCATTTGTTGATAAGGATGTTAAGGAAAAGTTACGGCTGAGTAAGTTCCCTGTCTTGATTATGTTAAGTTATATCGGGGAGGTACTTTTGTTGATCTGATGTACTGTTAGTTTTCCTCCTTTTTGATTTCTTCAGCACTTTGTTCCCACTTCCGGCTAGCTAGGCCTGTCACATTCTCAGTTATCATTCTCTTAGCTAGGCGCCATCCAAATTTAATGAGTCCCATCTACCGTAGTGCCAGTGTTGATTGGTTTGTTGGGTTATCTTTGGGGTTTGAACTCCAGCATTCCAGTTTGTACGTCATCTTATGATGTCTTTGGCAAAAAATCTCACAAAAACACGGACTGGTTTGATGAACATTGGGACGAGATGAAACCTGTCACTGAAGCCAAAAGGAAAGCTCTTACGGCTTACAAGGAAAAGCCTACACCCGACAGGTTGCATGCCTTAAAAACAGCCAAGTCACTTGCCCAAAAGGTTGCACGTAATTGCGCCAATACCTACTGGCTTAACCTCTGTTCCAGCATACAGTCAGCTGCAGATATGGGCGATGCAAAAGCAATGTACGAAAACATCAAAAAGGCAACTGGCCCCTTGACGTCCAAAGTTGCTCCTCTAAAGTCCAAAAATGGAGAAATTATCCAAGACCGGGCAGCACAGCTAAAACGGTGGGTTGAGCATTATCTGGAATTGTATTCAACAGTTACCACAGTCTCCAGCACCGCTCTAGATGACATACCAGATATGCCACTCATGGAAGAACTCGATGTCGTGCCCTCACAGGAAGAGCTGAGCAAAGCTATTGATAGCCTAGCTTGTGGAAAAGCGCCTGGGGATGATGGAATACCACCAGAGGCTCTAAAGAGTGGTAAGATAGCTTTACTCCAACCATTGCACGAGATTCTGTCCCTCTGCTGGGAACAGGGCTACATCCCCCAAGACCTAAAGGATGCAAATATAGTGACACTATATAAAAACAAAGGTGATAGGAGTGATTGCAATAATTATCGCGGCATTTCACTCCTTAGTATTGTAGGAAAGGCCTTTGCCCGTGTCATACTAACACGTTTACAGAGTCTAGCATCCCGTGTCTATCCAGAATCTCAGTGCGGTTTCCGGTCTGGGCGGTCTACCATAGACATGGTGTTCTCCATACGACAGCTCCAGGAAAAATGCAGAGAGCAGCAGATGCCACTGTACATTGCCTTTGTGGACCTTACAAAAGCCTTTGATTACGTCAGTCGCAACGGGCTATTCAAAATACTGGCAAAAATCGGCTGTCCCCCTCACCTACTTGCCATCACCAGAGAGTTCCATGAAAATATGCAGGGTACAGTGCAGTTCGATGGAGCCAAGTCAGAAGCCTTTCCAGTCAGCAGTGAAGTTAAACAAGGTTGTGTACTCGCACCAACACTGTTCGCAATATTCTTCTCTGTATTACTTCGATACGCATTCAGGGATAGCAGTGAGGGAATCTGGTTACACACCAGAGCTGATGGAGGACTTTTCAACACTGCCCGCCTCCGAGCCAAGACCAAAACGACAGATGTCCTAATTCGCGAGCTACTATTTGCGAATGATGCGGCACTAACAGCACACACAGAAATTGGTTTGCAACAACTCGTGTCAAGCTTCTCCAATGCCTGCAAAGAATTTGGTCTGCAAATCAGCTTGAAAAAGACAAACATCATGGCCCAAGACACTCGACCTCCACCTAACATAAAAATCGATAATGAAAACTTGGAGGTTGTGGACAGCTTCACCTACTTGGGGTCCAAGGTCTCCAATACACTGTCCATTGAAGAAGAAATTAACAGCAGAATCGGCAAGGCAGCTGCCACAATGGTTAAACTAAATAAAAGGGGCTGGGAGTGTAAGGCAAAAGACCGATCTACGTGTCGCACAGTTGTCAAAGAGGGCGTCATGGTAGCCGAGGAGCGAAGAATGGAAGAGGCTGCAGACAGAAGAGCTAGGAGGAAGGCCAAAACATTTGGAAGCACGGAACTCGTGTGTAAAAACTGTGGTAAAGACTGTCACTCAAGGATAGGACTGCACAGCCACTCGAGAAAATGCAACCCAACCCAACGGTGATGCACCATCGTCTCACGAGACGGAAGGATGCCGATAGATAGTCTTATGATGTCTTGAATTTGATAATAAATATAAATCCCCACTATTGCAGGAAAATACAGTATTTATCGGCGTATAACACGCACTTTTTCTCCCTAAAAATAGGGGGCAAATGATGTGTGCGTGTTATACGCCGATATAATGTTAAGGACTCATAGTACATACCACATAGCCAGTGCGTTTTATACGCCTAAATACGGTAAGTTATGTTAGAGAACATTTCTATTTTGTTGGCAATGATGTGTCACAGGCACACCACAGGTAGTGGTGATCAATAAATTCAAAGCACAGCATTAATAATGAAGAATTTTATTTTAGACTAAAATCGCTTCAGAGTTCTTAATGTTTTTTTTTTTAAAGTTGCAAAAGATAACTTAAATTTCACAAGTTTACTCACTGTATAGAGAATTATTTCCAAAACATATTTAGTGTCCCAGAAATTTGACGAAGAGAGTTTTTCACCTTAGAAAAGCTTTCTTCCATAATATAGGAAATAGCATCATTTGAAAATGCAAAGTCATGCAGTCTTGAAGACCTAATGTGGCTGTCTTGGTGGTTGATTGGGGAGTAGAGTGAAGTAATCGGGATCCATGCATATGTTAAGTTGAAAGAAGTCAAGGCCACGCTAGTTTTTTAGGTTTCCAAAAGATTTTTAAAAAATGCAAATTATATTATATTTAATGAATTCTTTTTTTTCCATCTTTTTAGAAACAATACCTTATTTCATTATATAAATTGGTAAAATCCTTAATTTAATGAGGCTGCATTAAAAAAAATAAATTATTTTATAGACATGTCATATTTGTTTATTATTAAATATTTGTTTATTGACAGCTGGCATGTTGACTAGAGATCCGAGAAAGAGAGAGAGAAAGAAGCCAGGACAAGAAGGAGCTAGAAAGAAATTTACTTGGTCAGTATTAGCAATCCGTATCAGTGTCCATGTCATTTTATTACCATTTTCAGTTGACTAAATTATGTTACTCCAAATGATCTTTAAAGAGTTTAAAGTTAATGACTTTAAATAAGTCTGCAGTTTAGTTGACTGCCGACTTCCAACTTTGGTGGTTGATGATTTTTTTTTGCACACTGTTTGTCTCATCACTAAGAAAAGCTCTTTATTAGGGTGACTGACTAGACCATTACATCCATGGCTGGGAATAACCCAAAAATTCAAAATCATTTTCTAACAAGCATGAAAATTGAAATCGGGCACGTACATGTTGGGCTTAACAAATGGTCATTTTGTTTTCAAAAAGCCAGTCTCCTCCACCCGCAACAATTTCATCTTTTGTTCATGTATTTTATTTAAGTCAGCCCTTTGTAGATTGTGCTGAGTTTCATTACTATTGAATAAATGCCGAAAATGTGTCTTGATGAAACAGCCATGCAATAGTGCATGGAAGTTAGTTTTAGTTAATATGTTGTCATTGTGCTCTTTTTCATAATTCTTTATTTATTCATTTAACATTCTTTTTTTCAACAGGAAAAAGAGATAAAACGAACTTTGGTCCAACAATCAAAACTAAATACAACTAATACAACCGGAATGATATGCATATTATTTAATGTATTGCTGAGCATTCAGAGAAATATAATGTCAGCCACTATCTTTGTAAAAGCAATAAAGTATAGTAATTTCTGATGAAAAGTGTTTAAATAAAATTTTTTTTTTAAAGTGATTGTTTCAAATCATAACTTCGTTAAGTTGTCTCCATTTGATATCATTATCCAACATTTCCCATTCTAGTTCTACTTTTTCTCTAGCTACTGACTTATTAAATCTGCTAAGATAGACATTAGACATTCTATTGAAATTTTATGATTTCAATGAGTCACATATTTAGCACAAGCTCCTAAATTTCACGTCATCATTTTATTGTTTACTCTCACTCTCACATTTGTGACGTGACGTACGTTGTCTAGGGGTCGGTCCCCTCTGTACTAGCCACAGAACAATTTTTCAAGGGTCTAGAACCCCTTTATTTCCAGCTCCTACAGAGCTGACTCTTGCTCCAAGTATCAACAAACAATTCAGGGTTTCAGGTTTTCTTATTTATTGGCTATGTGTGCCTATATGCCACTACACAAAACAGTTAAAGTTACACAAGTCCTCTTCCATCCTAGGAAAACTCACTGCCTTTCACAAGACAAAAATCATACACCATATCCACAGCACTCGCCACTGTTCACTCCTTCAAAAAACTCAACTCACACACGTGGTTTTTTCAGACACAGCACACCGGTCATACCTTGACCGAGAAAAATCAAAACTCGTGGGGCACACGGGGAAAATAAACTCACCCACGATTGGTCAAATTAACATTATAGAAGTTGACACAAAAAACTCACGCGATCTGACCGTGACACTCCGCCCCTCACGAGTGACGTTTGGTGAAACCCAATGTTGCGAGTTTACAAAACAGCGGTCAGTTCGCGTGCATACTCTGGTAAACTGACATCAATTATAACATGAACAACATACCGATATTAATAAAAAAAATATCATGAAATGTCTATCTTAAAACATTCCGTTATCAACCGCTATCAATCATACTTTGAAAGTCACTACTATTGTTATGGCAATGCATTGTAGAATTAAGACATCTCTAATGAAACATACATGGTAATAGATAAAATAATGACTATTCTTTATCATCTCAATCTTTTCCTACAATGAAATTGAGCATTTATTTTAATACATTGTAACAAATATTTAAATGTTTACAGCACATGATTTTGAAAAATCTTAATTCAAAAATGAAAAAGTGAAGAAAAACAAATGTCAACATCTGAGCATGTGTGGACAGCCATGAATTGTCCATTAAATCTTTACATACAAGACGGTGGAATGTTTCGCTTATCCCCTTGTCTTAAAAAATCATGGAGGTTATTTGATCCGCCCAACTCACCCCTCTCTCTTCTCGGGTTTGACCTGCACGGTCTAGTAGGCACGAATTCACCCAACAAGTCCTTTACACCCCAAGACCGTTTGGCTTCCCCCCAAGCTGTCCCTTCTCCTTTGTAACAAATACCATCATTGTTGAAAAGCAAAACACGTGTTACATTGTTAGACGTGTCAAATTTATTCAACTCAATTTTCCCATCGTCTCTAGATGGAAACACTTCACAGTCTCTGTCAACTGTGACATGTTCAAAAATAACTGAGTTAAACTCACGAGCAGTCAAAACTGCGATCTCCCCTCCTCCTCAAAACATAACACACATGAGCTTGACTCAGGAGTGTCGGTGAACTCTGACAAAATCTAGTGGGCACTTCATGGTACTCGCGACTTGACCCATTTTTTAATTTTGCCACCTCGCTTGCATGGAAGCAGAAGGTGATAAATCCATCAACACCCGTAGGTGTGTTATTAGAACATCAGTTTCTTCATAACCCACAGCAAGCCTATACTAATCGGCTCAGAACGTCAGCTAATACATTTTCAGCCCCCGGAATTGGTCTGATTGTGAAATTGTATTCCTGCAATGTTAAAGCCCATCTTGCAACCCGGTTATTTATGGACTTTGATGTTTGTAGAACCGTTAACGGTTTGTGGTCAGTCTCAATTGTGAAGTGACAACCATAAAGGTATCTCGAAAACTTTGTGATTGTCCAGATGACCCCTAAACATTCCTTCTCTATAACCGAATATCGTGTCTCGCGAGGCAGCAGTTTCCTACTCACATAAGCTATGGGGTGAAGTAGACCATGCCGTTCTTGCATTAAGCAACCGCCTATAGCGGTATCGCTCGCATCCGTTCTGATCACGAACTCACTATCTAGGTCTGGGAGAATGAGCAATGGTTGTGAAGATAAAGCACGTTGGAGTTTATCTAACGCCTCGACGCACTCATTTGTCCACAGAACTTTCTCCGGTTTTCCTTTTTTTGTTAGGTCTGAAAATATGCCTGAAATACCTGCGAAATCAGGTACAAATTTTCTGTAGTACCCAATAAGTCCCAGCAAGCTTCTTACTTGTCTTTTGGTATGCGGCGGTTTGATGTTTATGATCTTATTGACAACACCTTGTTTTGGTTTTTGTGTACCCTGTCCAACTATGTGGCCTAGAAACTCGATTTCTGTGAAGCCGATTTCCATTTTTGTGGGTCGAGCTGTCAGACCTGCGTTTTCCAGTCTATTCAGTACCTGCTCCAGGGCCTTGTTATGTTCTTTTATAGAACTGCCGAAGACGCAAATGTCATCAAAAAAACTGACAGCGTTTTTTTGCCCATCAAGAACCCGGCGCATGCAGCGTGCAAACGTGGCCGGTGCATTGCATAGCCCGAAAGGCATGTATCTAAATTGGTATAAACCTAAGTCGGTTTGAAACGCTGTATACTTTCTAGAGTTCTTGTCAACCGGTATTTGCCAGTAACCTTTAACCAAGTCAATTTTTGAAAAATATTTTGCGTTTCTGAGTTGAATGAATAAGTCTTCCTGATTAGGAATCGGTTCTGCGTCCGACACGGTTATTGCATTTAATTTTCTATAGTCGATGCAGAACCGAGTGGATCCATCTTTTTTCTTTACTAACACAATTGGTGAGGAATAAGAAGAGGATGACTTTTCTATAATGCCTTCTTTTTCCATCTGACGAACTTCCTTAATGATTGTCTCTTTGGAAGAAAATGGTATGGGGTATGGTCTTAGACAGATGGGTTTGTTAGTAGTTACTTCAATGGAATGAGTAACTAGAGATGTCTTTCCTGGTATATTTGTAATTGTGTTGGTGTATTTATGTAATATATCCTCAATTATTTGTTTTTCGTACTGATTGAGATCTGGATTGATCCTTACATCTTTAATGGTTTCAGTTATCTCTAGGGTTTGGGTAGTGACTGTATTTATACCCCTAGCGTCCTCGTCCTCCTCGTTATCCTCTATTACTACTGCGTATGCTGCTACTGATTCCTTATTTTTACTTATCTTATTAATGTTCCTGATGACGTTCTGTTTATTTGGTTTCTTATTTGCTTCTTGACTTTGTTCCTGGTCCCTTTTAAAATATTCGACTAGCATATTTACATGATAAGTCTTTCTTTTTCCTTTCTCTAATATGACATAGTTAAGTTCCCCTATTTTGTCTAATACTTTATATGGACCATGCCAACGGGCTCTTTGTAGTTTACTCCCCGTGGAGGGTTTCATGACTACCACTAAACTCCCTATAGTAATGGTTTTATTACGGGCTTTCCGGTCGTATATTTGCTTTTGTTTAATCCTAGCTTCTTTTAGGTTCCCACTTGCCAGTGTGCCACTCACTCTTAGTTGGTTCCGTAATTTTTCAATGTACTCATGAGTTGTTTTTTCCTCTGCCTGGTCAGTCTTACCAGCAAAAATGTTTCTTAGAATATTTATGGGTCCTCTTATCTTTCGCCCGAACATCAAATCAAAAGGTGAAAACCCTGTTGATTCATTTTTGCTATCCCTATAGGCGAATAAGATACCTGGGACGTGTGATTCCCAGTCTTTAGGATGATCAATCGACACTTTAGTGAGTAATGTTTTTAGGGTGCCGTTGAATCGTTCGACCATACCATTGCTTTGCGGGTGTAACGGGGTACTGAAACGTTGGTTTATGCCCATCAGTTTAGTGACTTGGCTCATCAGATCGCATTTAAATTGACCTCCATTGTCGGATAAAATTTCGTCTGGTAACCCCATTCTAGTGAATATTGTCAGAAGTGCCTCCTGTATGTTCTCGGCAGTTATTCTTTTAAGGGGGATTGCTTCTGGCCACCTAGTCGCGGTGTCCACAAGAGTGAGGATATAACGATATCCCTTTGTGGATGTTGGTATTATGGGGCCAACGAGGTCAATAGCTACTTTCCCCCAGGGCTTGTCGATTAACTCCATTTCGCCCAGGGGGGCAATTCCTCCAGCGCTTTGGTTTTTCACTTTTTGACACACGTCGCACGTCTTACAATAGTTTCTCACATCTTTCGCTATGCCAGGCCACCAGAATTCTTCCAAGGCTCTTGCCTTTGTTCGGGCTATCCCCATATGTGCAGATAAGCTGTTATCATGCGCTATTTCTAGCACTATATTTCGTAACGACTTGGGGACAGCTAATTGTTCCCAAACATTGTTCTGACCCTTGCTACTATGACAAAACTCTCTAACTAAAAGTCCATCTCTGTATCTAAATTGTGATGGTCTACCCGCCCTAAGTTGTCTTCTGGCGTGCTCGTGCGTACGTCTCAGTGTGAAGTCGTTTTGTTGTAACGTTCTAAACTTGTCCTCCGTAACCTCTAGTTCTGTTATGTGTCGTTTTATTGGGTCAATGTCCTCTGACCTTTTACCCTGTGCCCTGGTAACAACTGCGGCTGTAACTACGGTATTACCTCCCATTGTTGCCCCCTTTATGTTTCCAATAATTAAATCAACTGGTGGGTCGTTTAATAGAGCCGCCTTAGACCATCCTGTAAAGTATTGTGACTTTATGTATACATTTCCTAGTTTGTAAACCCTCTTCTGCCCATCAAACAAAATACATGTCACTGTTTCGTTTACCCTTTTTCCCTTTAATCTCCCTAAAATAGATTCCCTTACTCCCACAATTTCACAGCCCGTGTCCCTTATTACTTTTACCTTAACCCCATTTACTTCTCCCTCCGTAATAACTATCCCTGATTTCTTGCTCTCGACACAACTAAAAGTAGCCTTCCCTTTCCTGCCCCATTTTCCGTCCCTTCTTTGTCACCTTTTATCCCCCCTGTTCACATAACTGGTTCCTTCTCTAAACTTCCTGTCCCCGTGGTATTGCTGTAAATTTCTGCAATTCTCGGTGTTGTGTCCCACTAAGCGGCAGAAATGACAGTAACGTTTTTCCCACTCTGTGTTCCTGTAAACTTGTTGCTTTGTATTTCCTTCCTGTCCCTTAGCGTTTAAAGCCAAGCATGACACACCTGATGGTCCATGTGTGTCAGACCCCCGTGCGTCCGTGCGTGTCAGGACTTTAGTAGGGTGTGCAGCCATGTAATTGTCCCCGGTCGCAATGACGGCATCAAGAGTCATATTGTTTGTTTCCAATATGTGTTCCACTATGTCTTCATTTACCGTCTGTAGTATTTTGTCTACCACTGTTAGTGCGAACAGATTGTCATAGGTCTTCTCTGACTTGGATAATTCAATCCACCTGGCTAGGTAATGGCTTATCCTGTTCGCATATGGCATCAGACCCTCGTCTTTGTCCGGTGTCATCTTTGCCAGTTTATCTCTGTAGCCCTGAGCTGTAAGCCTAAACTGTTTTGAGAGTGCCGTTTTTACCTCATCATACGTGGCCTCCGTTCCTGTCACGCGTCCTGCGAAACAAACTGGGAGTAGTTCGGGTGGCATTAATTTTCTTAGTTCATTATTCCAAGTCTCGATTGGCCATTTGTTCTGTCTTGCTTCATCCTCAAACCGTATGAGGAAGAAGTCCAAATGGTCAGCACGCCCGTCGAACATTGGTATTTTGTTCTTAGAACGACCTGTGTCGGTCGATTGTTCTCTATCCTGGTTTGATCCTTTCCCCTTTTCTAACTCAGCCATTTTCATTTCATGTTCTTGTATTCTTTTTTTTTCTTCCCGCTCATATGCACGAATGTCCCTTTCCTCATCGCGAATCTCTCTTTCCCTTCTTGTTATCCATTCTTTCGCTTCCTCCCCTTCTAATCCCAAATCTATTGCCATTTGTTTAATTTCGGCAATAGTAGGTAACGACATTTTTATCTCTAAGTCTTATGTCAATATATATGTTTACACAAAATTTACAAATAGGAAATGGATCAAATGAAATGAGTAATAAAACAATAGAAATTGCAAATCTAATAACTAAATAATGTACTTAAAATAATTACTTGTGATGGTTCTCTTGATGGGTGGCACTGGGATTTCGTACGTATTGAGAAGTATAATCCATGTGTTCATTTGTATTCTTGTAGGTAGATAGGGTTGGAATGTCTGGTGTCTCCAATAATCCAATGTCACTAAAAGTTAAGGTTGGTATAGCTGTATGGTTGGTTTGCACGGCTTTCCTCTGGACTGGTATGGCCGTGATGATTGTTTCGAAGAGCTGGTGTGTCTGGTTGGTCAGGCCCTCTCTGTGATGAATGGTAGGCTGGTAGGGTTCTTTGGACGATATGATTTTGCTTTAACGGCCTCCACTGTGCAGTATGGTCTGGTATGGTTTGTTTGGACTTAGATGAACCTTTGAACCACGTACCGAATGATGAGCTGGTATGGTTGGATCGTGCTCCCACGGTGGCTAATTGCGCGCTTAGATGGCTGCTCCACTGTGGTGGATGGTTAGGGTTGATATGGCTGCATCGAACGGCCTCCCCTTTGGCTGATGGTAGGCTTGGATGGTTTCTTTGATGAGCCGCGACGATGGCGAATGATTTATATGGTTAATCCACTGTGGATGGTTGGTAGACTTGGATAGGTGCTCCACTGTGGTGGATGGTTGCTCCACTGTGGTGGATGGTAGACTTGGATGATATGGCTGCTTCGACGGGCCCCCACTGTGACGTGACGTACGTTGTCTAGGGGTCGGTCCCCTCTGTACTAGCCACAGAACAATTTTACAAGGGTCTAGAACCCCTTTATTTCCAGCTCCTACAGAGCTGACTCTTGCTCCAAGTATCAACAAACAATTCAGGGTTTCAGGTTTTCTTATTTATTGGCTATGTGTGCCTATATGCCACTACACAAAACAGTTAAAGTTACACAAGTCCTCTTCCATCCGTAGAAAAACTCACTGCCTTTATAAGACAAAAATCATACACCATATCCACAGCACTCGCCACTGTTCACTCCTTCAAAACTCAACTCACACACGTGGTTTTTTTTCAGACACAGCACACCGGTCATACCTTGACCGAGAAAAATCACAACTCGTGGGGCACACGGGGAAAATAAACTCACCCACGATTGGTCAAATTAACATTATAGAAGTTGACACAAAAAACTCACGCGATCTGACCGTGACAACATTTAACAAGCTGATTTTATTTAAAGAGAGTGCATTAACATTTTCTATTCCATGTTTCAAATCTTCTATTATTTATTATGGTAATTAATTTCCACATTTCATGCTGCTCTAAGAATTAGAGTTTGCTTTGAAAGGATGGTCATTATGCCATTTGCATTAACTGCTATTACTAAAAATTACCTCCATCGAGGGCCATCACTTAAACAACTTAAATAATTAAAAACTATAATTATCACCAATGCAAACTTCACCTAGCATCGTTTCATTATCTTCAACTTATTTTGATAAGGTAGCAAAAAACACACTTGTTAAGGTGTAAAATTTATATTCTCCAATGGGATCATGTTTCCCCAATAGGATCCCGTTACCCGATGGGATCACGTTACCCGTGTGTTCCAGTTTACTATTGGATCTCGATCCCCTTTAAGATCCTATTCCCAGTAGGATTTTGTTCCCGGTAGGATTAAGAAGGGTATGTTTAGAGAAAATCCCCATTGCAAAAAAATAGGAACTAAACTAACAATTCAATAAACTTTTAGATACAATAATTATATATCGCTGTAGAACAATAAAGAATTTTTAGGAACATTCTAGATTAAATTTAATATCCTCCTCGAAACATATATAGCTTATATAAGGAAAAATGAAACGGCGGAGCCCCCGGATCCAAAGAGATGGATATCATGAGTTCAATACCCTTCGGTATTTGAATATGGATCATCAAGTGTATGTGTACTAAGGTTAGGTTGGTCACGATCCATCCATTTATGTAGGAGTATTTGTTGGTCATTTTATTTATATAGTTCTTATATGGAAACAAAAAAGTCAGGGCCCCGGCCCCAAACGGAGTATATTTTAAAGTAAAAATAATGGATATATGTGCCAAGTTTGGCCAAGATCCATCAATCCATGTAAAAGCCCTTGTGGAACAAAGCCACAAACAAACAAATGTTCACTTATACAAATGACATATATATATATTATTTATTTTGTGAACAGCATAGTGAGACCTAACAATCATAAGATGACCATGGAAACTGTAGAATGCATCTTCCTTTATTATAGGTGAAAAGGAAATATTTTCAATTCTTTCCTATGCTTCCTTACTTTCTTGAGAACAATTCTTTAGTGCCAAACGAAGGTTAGACTCTTTGAACTATGCTTTATAACTGCAGCATGTATTTAAATTGTCAACTGAGCCCAACCAAAAGTTATTTGTTGAAAACAACCAGCATTACATGTGAATAGTTTATTGTTTGGAGATAACCATCCTAGTATTATATTTATATTAATTTAAGTATTTTCGATGTAAAATCTTAAACATTTTTTGTGGATTCAATTTTCATATTCATTAATGTAATGTAGCCATTGGGGTATCCTTTTCATTTTTGTAATTGCTACATTTTTTACAGCTATTTATATGTGGCATGACATCATTTTAAAAACATTCTTTGAACAATACAAAAGCTTCACAATTCAAATAATTTTAACAGGATATTTATATTACATTTTTGGTACCATACAGACATTTAAATTATTCGACAAACACAGTAATAAAACCAAAATATTTTAGTTAGTGCACAATGTCTGTGCACTGAAGAAGTGCAGGATGGATATCTGTACAAGAAAATGAGCTAAAATGCGGTAATATTGCCAAGACATAATTTAATAAAACAATTGGTTAACTATTGATTCTGGTACAGCCATACACCTCATTCACAATGGAAAAAACAATCTATGTAGCTGAAAATATCATGTTCACTTCCACAAGACAAGTAAATTATTTTGCATTTAATTAAGTAAGGTCTTTAAAAAGAATTTTTAATTCAGCTAATTTCAAATTACACTTAATTAAAACTAATACAACAAAAACCCAGAAGAAAAAATAGATATGGGAAATTATATGTACATTTAAAAAAATGCCTACCATTCACCCTACCATTCCTTTCCTCAGAAGGAAAAAACTCCAGCTAAAAACACAGTGATGGGTAGGGATGAGCTCACTTCTGAAATACAGAGTGTGAACACACCTGGCACCGAAAAAAAAAAAACAGGTCCAGGTGGCGAGAACAAAAATACCTTCTCATTTTCTATAATGTGTTCCACCCAATGGGAAAATAATGAAAAGTGCATATAAATATTATTTTAAATACCTTTTTTTCTTCTTATTTTATCTGATATAAATAAATAAAGAAAAGAAAACTGATTACCGATAGGTGCAAAATTCAATAAATGAAAGTGCAAAGCTATGATAATATACCTGTACTAGCTGTGAATTTTGTGCAATTATTTGTCTTAGCAAGTTGGATATATTTGACCTTGGTAATTTCTATTTAAAATTAATATTTCATTTCACATGATCACTGACTGATAATACAGAGTCGCCAAAATGTGTGTGTGTGGATTATCCCTAAGTTCTGTCATAGCAATAGAATTCAATAATAGTAATGTAATTTAACACTCATTTAATAAGTGAAACAATAGGCTTAACTGAAGAAAGGCTTGGCTAGAATCGACATGATTATGATATAAATATTTATTAAAATAATGAAGTTGGCATCAGAAAATAAAAACTGCTACCAAGTGACCAACAACACTTATGAACATAGATTTTTCTAGTGAAGCTACATTCCATGGTTGATTTTTGCCATATTTATGGGTATGGGTAAGGGTTCTCAACCTGATAGTCATGACAGGGGTTGCCTGAAAAAAAAGTCTGGGGTGGTTTGAAAATTTAAGATATTTTAGAAAGGTTTTAGTGTAAAATGTGCATTTTGGTATTAATCAGGTATTTGAATTTTAATTTTGAAAATTAAATATTATTTACAGTAACCAGATTAGTTTCTTAAAATAATTACTACACTTTAAAAAACGTTAACTACACTACAGCTACATAGATTTAAATAAAAACTATGACACAGCTGTCGGCAGCTAATTTAATATAAATATTTTGGCAGTCAAGTTCATTATTTTAAAATCTATTACTGTCAAGTGCATTTTCCTGTGATTTCAAGCCATTTTTAGCATTTTCTTATGCTTTTCAAAAATGACAAGATCCCATACTAAATGAATTCAGAGACCCTTATTATAAGTATACATTTTCTGCAATTATATTAGACAAGGTATCTGATGGTATGAAAAGAATTTGTTTTTCTATTAAGTATGTTGATACTGAACATGACTGAGCATAAAATTTTAATAATCCTCTGCATTCAACCCAACCTAATACCGGTACTCCATAAATAGTTCAAATTATAATAAAATTAATAAAATTGAGATACCACAAGCAATTATCTTTCAGAAAATGTCAAGTTATAGTTACAGGTAGGTACTTACATTGAAAATTGTAATTTTTGTAAATTTTTTAAATTCACTACCAGGTACTTTGAAATTTCTGTCACACAAATACAAGAGGAAAGCACAAAATGAGTTCAAAAATTCCGAAGTTATGCAATCCATTTTTTAAATGAATATTCTAGAGCATACAAAAACATAATTGTACATGAATCTCTTTAGGGTAGGTATTTAAGATCCTATCTTTGCCTTTTCTGTTGGATTTCCACCCTTTCCCAAACAAATTTGTCTGTGACTGTGACAATATGACTAAGCTTAGGGCTTAAATTGTCAATATCTGACTCTTTTGATCTTATGTCACCATCACTAGAGTTGATACTGTCATTACTAGCGTGCTGAATATCTCTGAAATCATTGCTTTCAATATAATCCATTTGAAATAATTGTAGTCTAGAGGGGGACCATCTAGAGCATCAAACATAATGGCAATAAAAAAAAAATGAGCGAATTCACACCTGATTAATCACAAAACAAGCCCTGATATGTGTTGATAAAAGCATGTCAACACACTGAAGAAACAGAAATGGGAAGCAAACTCATTTACAAAGAATGATTTCCCCTTAAACAATATACTTTAAATCATTGCATTGCATTTTTAATGACGATTTTGCTAGCGTTTTATTATATGGCTTTGACACCTGATCATCGCCCGTTATGACATTTAATAGGGTTAAAAATTACATTACATATGATTTTAGTTTTTGCTGTTGCTTTTGTTTTGTTTTTCTTTGTTTTTTGCAGCTTTCAAAATAAACTATAACCAGGTGTGAGAATTTATTAAAAATTGTTCTCATATTATTAAGCTATTAGTATTATTTAGCACTTTTCACTTCTCCCCTTTGTGTAGGAAGCCTTAAAGAAAAATGAGAAGATAATTCTTTTTTTTATTTTAACACTAGGAACCACCAGGTATTGTCTCAAAATACTTTGACGCAGTGCAAAAAAAATGCACCATGTTCAGCCCTAGGTATGAGTTATAAATTTCACCACAAAAAAAACATCATATTAGGAAGCTTACTATTTAAAGTGATTAAAGAGAAAATTATTCTTCATTCACTTTCTTATATGAACTTTATATGAACTAACAATTTCTAAAACATTTCCAGATTAGACCGTAAACATTAATTTAAAAAAAAAATGTATCATCTGCTACCAGTATTTAAAAAGAACTCATGTATTGACCTTCAACTTTGACTTTCAATTTAAAAAAAAAATTAGTGAAAATGTCATTCAGCTACATGAGTTTTTTATAATGAAAAGATGCACAATTAAAGCAGATCTGTGCGGACAATCTTGTACCTATACAAGATTATTTGATAACTGTGCTCACAAAGAGATCACGTTCCAAATAGATATGAATACCAAAATCTTTCTGCTTGATGATTAACCCCATAAATCCTCTGTTCTTCCAAACTTGAAGACAAATGCACTGAAAACAAAATGCCAAGAAAACAAAAACATCACAATTTTATGTACAGGGTGTACTAACAGTGTTAAAAATGAAAGACTGATAAAACTGTTTATTTTTAATGAGACATCAGTCATTGACTCATTTTTATAATAAGAAAATTTATCTACAGTCGAACCCGCTTATCTCGACCTCGGTTAACTTGCCAACCCTGTTATGTGGACGTTTTTGAAGCGCAACCGCCAAATTCTCTCTTTGTCTTAGCATTTTCTCCTCGGTTATGTTGATTCTTTTATATCGCCGAACCCTGATATCTCAAGCACAAAAGGCAGCCAAAGTTGCCTCTTAACCTCGGTTATCTCGATCCCCATGACCACTCGGCTTTTGAACTCCGCAAGGAGAAATAGCAAACAACAAACAAACATGTTTTTCATTATTAAAAATAATTATTTATTTCTCACAATACAGGACTTGTGTTTTAGAATGAACCTAGAAGTAATTTAAATAAATATGTTTTAATTCGAGGCTTAAAAACCAAGTAGAGTCCATATTATAAATGATCATAATTTGCAGTGTGCAAAACGTTGTCATGGGCAGCCATTCATGATCACTTACATATATGCTAAGCCGTGTTACTACGTCAGAGTTTCATTCATAACAGTTTGCTGTGTGCAAATGCTATTAAACCATTGGTCAGGGAAAGCTTTAATTAAATAGTCATGTGCCAAAGTTGAAAGTTCAAAATAAGTAGTCTCTAAATTGTATTTTAGTAATAAGGGGATGCGTTGCCTTATAAAAAATATATAGTCGTTGCGCAAGACGCGATCAGCAGAATGAGGTCACAAAATGTGGAGACTTCGTCCATAGTTAAAAATCCCAACTTTACTACTTTAAAAATTCGTAGCTCAAAAAGTACTAAAGTTAAAAAGTTGATTCTAGTTTCATTTTTTAAATTTGAAATTTGCTCTAAATAACTGTAATATTTTTAAAATTATTAATTTTTGTTTTTAATGAAGTACCTGCATTTATTAACACACATGATGTACATAAAGAAATTTCAAGCACATGTTAATATATTGCTGCCATATTGGTTGTTGGTTATCTCGATCATCAGTTATCTCAACGCTTTATGGCAAACCCCGAGGCCGTGGACATAACCGGGTTCTACTGTATTTAAATTTAAGTATGAAACATCAATAGTACTTCAGAGATTGTGTATTCTCACAATAAGAGTTGCTAAAATAAAAATGTAATACTTCTTTAAACTCATGTATTAGACATTTATTAGGAATGAATAATCATAATAGATTAGCTGTTTCTGTGCTGTAGAAGAGATTAGTTGAAAGTTTAAAAGTTTGAATACCCACCTAAAAAATATGAGAGCATTCTGAAGGAAAACTGCAATTCCTGGCCAGTCAGGTTTGACATCTTTAGAAAGATAAAAACTTATACTTAACAAAAATCAAATGAAATAAAAAATATATAAAATAAAACTTTTCTCACTTAAGTAGCGATTTCTTCTATAAAGTGTTTAAATTAATTACTATTTTTACATTTAATTATCACTTGTAGTTGTAGGTGATTAAAAATGATTTTAAGTGAAATTCAATCTGAATGGATTAAGAACATTTATTATTCACAAGCAAAAACAGCACATGACCTATACAAATAAAAGTGAACATTTTCATGGAGGATAAAACATTTTATCCTCAAAAACCATTTTCCTTACACAAATACAAATATATACACCAGTACACCTACTCTACACTATAAAAAAGGAAATGTAAGAGAAAAAATAAATTTACTTACTTCCTACCACATAAAAACCAAAAAGAATCCAGCTGGCAGCAATAAGAGCACCAAAAGCCAATAAAAATCCAAGAAACAACCAGACCCTTGCACCTTTTGAACATTACAAAATTATTAATGTAAATAATTAAAATAAAATATAGGTTTATATAGAAAACGCTTGAACTCGTAGATTAGAGTACATTTTCAATAAAAATATTTACATAAATTAATACTTTTTAGTGGCGCATGGGCCTAATGTATAAGCTGCAGAATCTGGGGATTACTGCTAATATGTATCGGTGGGCCGAAGAATTCCTAGAACATAGGCTCCTGCAGGGATCCGCTCTCAGTTGCACTCTATTCCTCGCCTACGTACATGATTTACAAGAAGAGTTGGAATCCCAGATTGCCATGTTCGCGGATGATCTAGTGATATGGAGCTCAGGATAAGACATGAAACAACTATAGATCCGGCTAAAGCCAACTCCCAAGCAGAACAAAGGGAGGAAGCACTCAAAACGATTGACGCCTACTCGGACCAGATGGTAAAGTCTTCACAGACAATGCATGCTTCGCTATGGAAAATGGCAGCGGCTCTGGTGCACTCATACAATACGCAGGAGAGGTATCTCCAACAAAGGAGCTGTCAGGGCCAAGTGGAAAGAATAGAACCAGCTTCGATGCAAAAGTAGAAGCAATCCTGGCCGCCCTAAAATAAGTACGCCTATGTCTAACGAAGAGAAAAAACTTCCAGTACATTTGCTCTCAAAAGCTTGGGAAAGGGCTTGACTGAGACCACAGTAGTAAACACCATCCTGGAGACAGTATACAGCATCCAAAAGGTAAGGTTTTCCTGCAGTTTATACCATGTCATGTTAAGGTGACACAGCATGACAGGGCTGATACCGTAGCGCGAGAAGGTGTGGCCCAACCCTACCTGATAAACCCAGGACTCAGCTGGGAGTCAAGGCATGGCTACAAGATCAATCCCATGAGGAGTGGCTTAGAGACTGGGTGCCAGGGAACACTGGATGGCAGCTCTATCAGAAAATCCCACGACAGAGCAAAAGTGACCCATCGTGGAAACTTAAGAGACATGAACAGTCTAATAACACAAATGAGGATGGACCAATGTGCGACACCCAATTACATCTATCGACTGGACTCATGGAAAGGATACCAACTGCCGACTATGTGGCCTTGTCACAGAGGCGGTAGAGCGCCTGGTTATTAACTGCTCCAGTAAAGGCGATGGGGTGGGAGGTCTAAACACGGGGACCTGTGTTGATACTTAATTTACGGCGACGCCCATCAGATGAATCAAGCCACTAGTAAATTGGCCAAGGCCATAAGAGCATGATCTCGGCCTTCACAGAGGATTCAACATTTTCAGTGGTGCAACAAACTTAAATTTGTGTTGAAACATCCCTCCCATCTGTTGTGGATGTCATAAATAGCATTATCATCAGTTGAAGCAAACTACAAAAATGTCAGTAATGTTTTTAACAGAAGTAGGACAATTTTTACCTTTTCATAACTAACCTGTTTGTCCTATGCAGCCTGTTGTGTAGGCCTCACCCCTTATTTGTCCATTGGATACTGAGTTGATCCTGCAATAATTAACAATGATTGATAAAATACATTTTAAAAATTAAGCTCTTTGGGAAATAAATAAAATTCCTCTTGGAAGTATTAACGGGTGCATCGCTGGAGGGTGGAAAACGGAGCAACTGCCCCAAGGCCCTGTGCTTATGGGGCCCAGCACATAGCCCTTATTATATATCATTAATTATATAGCCAGGCCGTGCCTACCAGGGTTGCCAACTCAAAATAATAAAATTTAATGAAAAAATCTAATTCTGCACAATTTTTATGGACAAAATTTTATAGAATGAACAGAAGAAACCCAAAAAAATTTAACTATCCATACAACTAAATAAACAGGTTGCTACATCTGTGTATGACTCTATGATACCTTTTGACCATTATGCTTGAGTTCTTTTTTAAATTTAAAATAACAGTATTCATTGTAGAGCACTATCATAAGTGTTGAATATCCACTGATTATAAGATAATACAAGTAAAAAGCTAGTAAGAAGAAATCACAAATGTATAGATATCCTGCTTTAATAGCCTTCAAAAACCTTTTGATCAAAGTCTTATTTTTACAGACACCCTAAAATTCTTACAGACATTTACGGACAAGTCGTTTTAGGACGGTCCAAAAATGTACAGAGGATTGGCGATCATGCAGACGCCATAGTTTGTATTTTCCAGCCAATCAGTCTGTCCTTTTCCCATACTATCCCTCCCAGTTCAGTTGTGCTACGTCACCCAAACCTGACACGCACACTAAAGTGAATATTGAAGCTGCTTGTCTTGCATATTACAAGTTGGGGATTTATGAATTTCTGCTTGCCATGGTCATTGGTATGATGTCCTCTTTGCTGGTAATCAGCAAGATCTTGCCAACCTCGGTCATGCAACTTGATTTAACTTGGTTGAATAGAGTATGCCAATCTCCAAACAGATCCTTGGCTTGTCAACTTGTGGGTGACAACACCTGGGATTTGGAGTGGAGCTTGGAACCCAGGAGCAGGGTCTTTTTTCCCAGAGCTCGAGCTGGTCAAATTTCTCACTGCTCCAAGCCCCAAAATTTTTAATAAATTATTTTCTTAAATTTGATGTCCCACTCTATTCTACCAACTATGTTTCCACACTCTTTTACAGCCACTTTGCCCCCAATCCTCAACCAGATATGTTTCACCCCCTCTCTTCTACCAGCTATGTTGACCCACTCTTCTATCAGCTATGTTGACCCACTCTTCTACCAGCTATGTTGACACACTCTTCTACCAGCTATGTTGACCCGCTCATCTACCAGCTATGTTGACCCACTCTTCTACCAGCTATGTTGACCCAGACCTGTTTACTCTTACGATTTTGGCGTACAATGTACGATTTTGAGATGTCTTTTACGATTGTACGCCTAGACCCGCCAAAACTACGATTTTCAGAGGCCGGGTGAAAAAAAAAAAATTTCCGATAGTTTTTTTTGTTTTTTTTGTTTGTTGAAGTTTTAGCCCTTTCTAATAAAAATCTAATGGTGAATGGAACCAGAAAAACGATTGGTTGTAACTTTTTTTAAAGGTGGGACCATCCTTCATTATCTTATGTACGCACTGAGAGGGGAGGTGGGGGTTGTTGATGGAGGACATTTGCTGCACACGGGACGCATGGGTAGGGGGTTGGTCGGAGTGTCAAAGGCTATAAATATATCACCGCAACGCATCGCATTGATGGTGATGATAGTCATACTGATGCTTTGCGTGTCACAGTGAACTAGTTAGCTGCATCACCGGTAATAGGTATACTAGTTGCCCTGGCAACCGCTTCACCACCATCCCCCTTTGACTGCTACCCAGCGTGTGACGTAGTTTTGTTTCCTTGAACAGCGGCGATTGTGAAAACGGAGAAAACTAGAGACGCGATGGTTTTTACAATAAAATCATGATCCCACTATTCTGCACTGGAATGTTGGATGTGGACATATTTTATAAGAGCTAGTCAGCGGCATTAAAAAATAAATATTTGTAGAACTCGCAAAGCAGCTCTTCACCCTCAGCGATCGTAATACGTCATTTTGGTATCACTACTAATACTACCCCCCATCCCACCCCTTTTATTAATGGAAAAAAATCGGGCGATGGCTCAATTTTTTTCCCCAGTAATGAGGGGGCTGGGGGTGATTCTGCCCGGTGGAAATAATGACGTCACCAGCACGGAAAAACGCATTACTGGACTACAGTGTGTTATGACTATGTCATGTTCAATTTTACAACTACAGGGATCTCTTTATGAAAAACACAAAGCATTAGTAGCTTAAAGGAGTAGGCCTATATGCTTTCTGCGAAATATTGTGGTAATATTTTTATAGCTTTAATAATAATAATAATAATAAAAAGGCCTAATTAGAATTCACTGATTTCACAGACTTTCAGATGACAGTTGGCTTTATAAGAGACTGTCAGGATAATTATTGTATGCATAAATGTAGGTGCTGTCTATTGACCACCCCCCCCCCCAACAAATCTGTCGTACGCATCCTCAGCGCCTACATAATCCGGAATAGTTAGATGGCCCTTTGTTTTACATAATAGTTAGATGGCCCTTTGTTTTATGTAATAGTTAGATGGCCCTTTGTTTTACGTAATAGTTAGATGGCCATTTGTTTTCCGTAATAGTTAGATGGCCCTTTGTTTTACGTAATAGTTAGATGGCCCTTTGTTTTACTTAATAGTTAGATGGCCATTTGTTTTACGTAATAGTTAGATGGCCCTTTGTTTTACATAATAGTTAGATGGTCGTTTGACGTAATAGATGGCTCTTTGTTTTACGTAATAGTTAGATGGCCCTTTGTTTTATGTAATAGTTAGATGGTCGTTTGACGTAATAGATGGCTCTTTGTTTTACGCAATAGTTAGATGGCCCTTTGTTTTCCGTAATAGATGGCCCTTTGTTTTACGTTGACAAGGTGCGGCTGGTGTGGGGGGTATAAATATTTTTGTAAAACATTTTAATGGTTTATTTTGCGTACCAGGTATGTTATACATGAATGTCCCATTTCCCAAACAGCTTTGGGTTCCAATTTGACTACATTGACGGGTGTGCACATTGCCTGATTTCAATGTTACCATTAATGGAATCAGCGATCCTTTTTATTTTCGGTCCCCTAGTTTAGTTTACCTAGTGAGTATTTTACGATATGGCCTCGACAAAAAGAAAGGCACGCGAAACCGATGATGAAGAAGAAACTTCTACTTCTACCGATAAACATCAGCTTCAACAAAAGATAAAGAAAGTTTACATTCTCGCTTGAATCTAGGACACAATTTACTGTGTTGCGGTCTTCATAGAAGGGTCCATCATACTGCACATTCTGCAAGTCAGGCTTTTCAGTAGCAACCAGAGGCAAAATGAGTGGTGTGGATCTGAGAGATACCATGTATGGCGTGGGTCTAAATATTTGAATCAACACCGTAACCCACCTTTTCGTAATTTCAGGTGGGGGGTGGCAGTTCCTTCACAGAAAATACATGCGGTATTTAAAAATACTACAATAATCATGCCGAAACTCCAAAAGTCCTAAAATAGCACATTTATATCTCGAATGCTGTAAAATATCAGCCAATGGTTAGCAGGAATTTTTGTTGTGATGTTGTCAAGATGTATTTTCATAAATGAACTAGCTAGCTGTACCTAAACTCAGTAGTAGAGACATTGCAGTAATGTTTAGTGCTCCGAATGGTCAGCCCGCGTGTGACGTATATTTCGGTGGGCTCCGCCAGTGGTTCTAAAATTTTCGTTTCCCTGCGCCTATGCCACACTACGTTTTCACAAGGCTCCCTGTGTTGAATTCTAACATGTACAATTCGAAATAGCGAATACAAAAATAAAATAAAGGTTGGATAAAAATAAATATAACGTGTATGTCGGTCACTGAGCGCCATCTGGAACTGCAAACAGCGGTTGCTTAGTGGGTTACAGTTTGCACAACGACCGAAAGTTGTTACACTGGTTTAAACGTGAAAATAAAATAATGAATTAAAAAAAAAAATATTTCGCAACGCCTTGATGAGGAAGCCGCAGCTAACCCCCTTGCCCGAGGGCAACGAGCACCCAGGGCGATGTGGCGTTTATTCTGGGAACCACTGGGCTAGCCGAATCACCAGTGGTGAAAACCCGTGTCATGCTTTGTTTACTGTAACATCATAATATACAACGGATTTTTTAAAGTTTATGGGGGGTGGGGGCTGGGCTGGTGTTCTAAAGCTCACTGTACCGTACACACAAAAAAAGGCCAGGGAGCCTTGTGANNNNGGGGGGGTTCCCAATTTGTTTCCGGGTAATTCATTCTTATCTTAATACATTTTATTTAATGCTCATCTGACGTCAAGTTTGAACAACGTTAAATTTCACCGTTGACTTTATTTTAACCTGTGACAGACTGGGATAATGTGATCAGCACATTAACCCAAATCTTAATTGATATGCATTAGCCGATACGCGTCTGCAAAACAAAGTGACCGCAGTTAACTGCTAACGTCAGTCATCTACTGTTAACCTACAGTTCCATATTTTGACGCCAGCTTAACTGAACACGCTATAAAGAGTAGTTATTGTATACAATATATATACTGTATTTTTATTTATTTACTATCAAAATACTGCATTGTACGATTTTGAGACGATATTGTACGATTTTAGGAGTTTGTGGGTAAACAAGTCTGTTGACCCACTCATCTACCAGCTATGTTGACCCACTCTTCTACCAACTATGTTGACCCTCTCTCCTAATCAGCTTTGTGCCACTCTTCAGTTAAGTTGCCCAATTCTTCTACTGGTATGTTGCTGGCACATGCATTTATATGACTAGTCAATAAGATTGGTAAGTGACAGTTTTAAACACATTACTTAAAACACTTAACACCTCCCTTAACCACCTGAGCAGAATGGAGCAGATACAAATTTGTCAGGAGCGACCCTTGCCCAAAAAATCCTGCTCCAAATCCTAGGATAAAATAGCCAATATACACACACCAAGTCATCCAAACACCTTTGTGATTACCTAAATTTAATCAGTCATAGTTTCTTTTGCTTAATGTTTTGGAGGCCTTTGTTAAATCTGAGATTTAAAACAAATTTTAAAAAATTTGGTCTGGATTAAAAAAAAATTGTTTGAAACAAATTACATTTGTGAACAATAAGGCTGATCCACAAAACAAGACTAGACTTACATAAAGAAAGCTACAGTTAATATGACACCAGGAGTCTGGAAGGCATGGTTAAACTTGTCACCATCTGGGTACATAGCTGCTGCATCGATCACAAACCACCAACCTGCAAAAAACTAGAAGCAATGGTTTTATCATTAGCCAGGGCTTTATACATTTATTCATTGGCAAAGTTCTTAAAAATGCATTCTAATAGTAAAAACATTAATTATAATACCTGACTGAAAAATAATAAATAATCAGCTTCAATTAAATCTCTCAAGTTCAAGTAAAATGAAAAGTTTTAGAAAATAGGTCCCCACTGTTATCTTACCATCACACCTGACAGGACTGAAACAACCAGGTTTCTTTTGTCTCCAAGTTCTATGCATTCACATCTAGGCCAATGGCAGTTATCTAAGAAACCTGACATGATTGTGTCTGTCTGGTGTCACGTTCAGCTAGATCTAGATTCATGTTTAAATAAAAAAGTTTCATAATAGAACAACACCAAAGCAAACACTAAAAAACTCAAATAATGGTGATAGCATTTGTATGTCATTTTAATTAATCAACCCATGCAACAAATTAGAAAAAGATTAACGAAAGAATTTAGAATTTAGTATAACAGTGAGTATGATAGTACCGGGTCAGTGCTTAGTAAGTTAATAAATCTCTAATACACTGTATAGGTCTCGACATTATAATAATTAACTATAGGGCCTATATGTCTAGACTCTTTAGACAATTTAAGTATTTAGCTGAGAATTTTTTTTTATCTGGTCACATCAACCATCAAGTGTATTTTCTCATCATATTTGTTTGACTGGATGCAACAAATTTAGAAAGTACTGATTTTTATCTGTATTCTGATATATTATTACAAGGTGTAAAATAAAAATTTATGCTTAAAGTTTTAGAATTCAAAGTGCATTTTTAGCTGTTGCCATTATCTTAAAGCTTGCAAAAATACATATTCTGAAAGCCAATTCATTTTATGATAAAACTGTTAAAATTTGGGAATGCCCCATTTACAACACATAACGGGCAAGCTTAAGCAATACGTCATCAAATAACCACACAAAAAATTCAGTCGAGTAAGAGAAAGAAAATCTGACCGTATAAGCAATTTAGCCAAATTTACTGATTTTTCCATGGATTTAATCGTTCATAGGTAAGTTAAAGAATTAATTCATTCCTAGGTATCTTATATTTATTTAAAAAAGCTGTTTCTCTTATGTAGTTGTGATTTAGCATCTGTACTTCTTGGATTATTGATTTCTTGGGAATTATCAACTAGCACTAATAGCCAACCGGTATTGTAAAGTCCCCTGTATTTAATTTACAATAATGGATTTAAGAAAAAGAAGGCATGTTTAAATATTGAATTTTTTTTTTTTTAAGCAATGCAATTTGTTTAGAAGGTGCTGTAAATCATTTAACTGTCAAAGTATTATCTATTTGAGAAAAGCATTTACCTTTGGGTCGAAGTATTATTTCTCCAAGGTTAGTTTTAAATTATCAACTAATCCAGTTTATAAATAAAGTTATATGGTAAGATGCATAAAAAAGTAATTATTTACATTAATAATTTTGTAATGGTCAAAAGGTGCAAGGATCTGGTTGTTTCTTGGATTTTTATTGGCTTTTGGTGCTCTTATTGCTGCCAGCTGGATTCTTTTTGGTTTTTATGTGGTAGGAAGTAAGTAAATTTATTTTTTCTCTTACATTTCCTTTTTTATAGTGTAGAGTAGGTGTACTGGTGTATATATTTGTATTTGTGTAAGGAAAATGGTTTTTGAGGGTAAAAATGTTTTATCCTCCATGAAAATGTTCACCTTTATTTGTATAGGTCATGTGCTGTTTTTGCTTGTGAATAATGCCAATTACATTTCCCTGAGTCCAAAACAGACTGTCACCAAAAAGCTTCTGGTACAGGTATTACCGGTAGTAGTAATATTATAAGTAATTTTTTTATTTCATTGCTAGCAATGACATGATCATCAATGCTAAGTTAACCGTAACAATTAAAATCATGATACAAATACATATATTTTTTTGGAATATTCACAGGTTGTTGATTTATGAATTGTGGAAATTTGGCCTGAACCCATTAGAAGGGAATGTTCCCAGAACCATCCAGACATGCAAATAAATCTCATCAGACTTCTTTCAACTTATCTCTTTTATAGGTTTTTCTACTTTGTCATACAATTTTCAATACCAGTACTGAATTGCAGCTTTCTATACCAATTTATAATACAAATTAATTATGTTGGACATTCTCAATTTTGTGTTTGAAAGTACCATTTTAAAAATATTTCTTAATTATTATTTGTATTTTTAACCTGAGTCTGTTTATCTCCAAATAAAAACAATATCTATTTCTACAATATGGTAAAAAGTTTATTTAGATTTTAGATATCTTAATTGGTTACTTTTCTGTGATTTAAAAAAATTCTATACTATAAAATTGTAATTTTGTGTGAACATGCTTAGGTAAGATAATTCTAGTCAATTATAATTTATCCTCTGCTGTTTAATTCCACAATAATAAACTTTAAATTTACTTTACCATTATCTAAATTTTATATTTCTAACTCATTTAGTTCATTTTTAATTTTATGATATCTTAAAAATGAACTAAAATTGACTTTTGTCTCCCTTTTCATAATTGGTCAAACTGTGCTATGGCTCATTTTTGTATCAATAATTTTTTAATTTATATCTTTGAGCCCAACCTGAAAAAAATTGAGCTTGTTATATTTAAACTGGCTGTTAGTGCATGAGATTGGAAAGATCCAACTTAGTTATTTTAGAAAATAGCGTGTGGAAATATTGTCTCTTTCAATCCTCTAAAATTTGAAGTTGTTCCTGAGTTTTTAAAAATTCATAACTTTCTTAAAATAGGAGATAGAGATTTAGAATGTATGGTTATTTTCTGATTAAGTGGATATAATTGGGCCCCATTTTAAGGTGAATGATACAACACAGGCCATGATTATGATGCCCTTCACTTTCAGTGTACGAGTGAACTGTCCCGTATTTATCAGTCACCAGCGATTTATTACTCTTTCATCATTATAAATTGACACACTGATGGCAATGGCCATCATTTGGGCATCACTATAATTTATTTTTTATTTGCTTAATTATTTTGCCACTTTAAAAAATTAAGTTTAGCTACTTTTAAGTTTAAGAATGATATTGACAATTGAATTTTTAGGACTTAATTAGGTTTAAATTTAAATCATATAAATAATATATTTTTATTATAATGTACAAGGAGTAGAAATAAGCCTACAGTCCCACAGTCTAGAACTGATCTAGTCCCCTGCACATATTTGACCCTGTCACTATCACTATTAAGACTAGTAGTAGGCTACTAGTAATAGTACAAATAATAATAGAAATAGTAATAAGTAATAGTATTAATAATGGCCAGTACAATTTCATTTTGATTTAATGGATAAGCCTAAGCAAAGACTGGTTTGAAAACATACTAACATGGACATCATTGACATCAATTTTTTTACCATAAATATAAAAGAATAACTTTCAATAACAGACAGATGACATGAATGATGATGAATTATACAAAAATAAAGTATAACCATGTAAACATATAATGATAGGCTAGATAGGCCTAAATTACCATATTATATATACTAGTACTAGTATTAATATAGTAAATAATATAAAATAATGTCTACCAAAATAATATAATGAATAATGTTTTTAATATTAATTAATAGGAAATTAGTAAAACAAATTAAGGTTAAACCTGAGAAAAGGAATGCAACAAAACAACAAACATGTCGGCAGGAAGCCTTCGTTTACTAATTTCCTACTATTGAATTGATATTAATATCTCAATATTAATCATTATGATTCATGATCAATTAAACTATCAATATCAATTTTAATTTATTAATAAATAATGTGCTAACTTAACTAACTGCAGTCTCTCCCCTTGCCTTACTTAATATCCTAATATTAATTAAGCCAATAATTTTGAATAATGAAACAGTAAGTTAGTAAGTTTTATCACCTCTGACTTCTAAAGATGAATCATGAGCACTAAAGCTTAATGTTATGTCAAATTATGTGTCATTGTACTTTTGCTTACCAGCTGAACTATCAGGTAAGGCTTTCGATCAGGTAAATGGGTTTTAATGTAATTATGGACTTCCTGTTTTCATGTTCTTTTTTAAACACAAGTTTTAATGACGTCAGATCAAGATTATTGTTGCTGTGCGTGAAAATTACATTTGGTCAGTCGGAATGCGTCCCACAATGCTCTTTTTGCATTCTTTAGCAACAAAATGGCGACCAACGTTCAACCAGACTATGACAAGCCGGGAGATGAAGGAGAAGAACGCGTAAAAATTATATGTCTCGGTGACAGCGCTGTAGGAAAATCAAAGTATGTATCATAATAAACACATTTTTTTTTTCATTTTTGTTTTACATAAAATACACTCAATGTTTCAATGGGCTTTTTCTGGTACTTACCAATTATCGAGTAGTGTTATTTTAACTTGACTTAAAACTTAAAACTTACTAAGTAATAGTTAACGTACCATAACACATGCTGAAACTTGCACCTTACTTATCATGCATTAGTTAATTAAATTTGAAATATATTCAGATACCAATAACATTAGTAATATATGTCAAATAATATATATCCATTGCATTTTATTTTTATAAACAATATTATTCAATAGGCCTATATTATATTATATGATATAATTTATTATAAGTTGAATTTTTAAAAGAAATCCAACAATTTTTAAAAGTCAATAAAATTCACTATTTCATTAGTGTTAAAATTTGAAGGCTAATTACCAATTTAGTAAAATAGGATTTTACCTAAAATTATTAAATTAAACATTCATAATTCATATTGACATACAAATTATGTATTCTATTGCCTAATGTCTATTATAGTCATAGTGATTTAAAATAAATATCCAAATGCTGTTTTTTTTTTACATAAACAATAACCATTTCTTCTTCTATATCTTAAGGGCCCACGATCAATTTATTGATCATTTTGGCTCCTATTTACACATTGTACTAGAGCTAAAAAATAGAGCTCCAGCCATCTTTTTTTATTTATGGTAACATTTTTTATCTGCATGGAGAAATCTTCTGTCATGTAGTCTTCTTGCAGAAAAAATCAATATGATGTTGACAGCAAATTAAACAAAATCCCATTTATTTACTTCAAAATTCTTCCTTAAAATTCATTTTAAATATTGAATATTACTCTTAATCACTTGATATAACAGAGTCAATGAAGGCATCTCTCCCTGAGAGGAGAAAGCAGGATACAGATGTATGCAGTTTCAAAGATTCTTGAATTTCAAGGATTCTTGAATTTCAAAGATTCTTGAATTTCAAAGACAGGAAATGTGCCTTGCCTAGGGCAAGACATGCTATCAGTGTAATAGAAAAGATAATTTTAAGACATGAGGCAAGGGGGTAAACTCAATGAAGGATAAGATCAGATGTGACATTGGTGATCAAGAAAGCATTGTGGGAGTGTCTAACATTTCAAATAAGACCAAGGGTGCTTGGTAGCAGATTGTTCAGTGGTCTAAACTGAGTCAATCCTTAGCTGATCAAATGAAGTTTAATCCCCAGCAAAAGTAAAGAAAATCACCAACACCCTGGGTGGATGGGACTCGTTAACCTTGGATGGCAACGCATCTAAATTTCTGAACTCAAACCTGGAGATTGAGTCCCATAGGTGGTACGACACTATGAAAATTCCGAAAACTCCTGCAACATAGAACCATAAAGAGCACACACAAGAAAACTTATGCATCCTGGTTTTTTTCCAGTCTTCTTGACTTAGTCTTGCCATGGGATCAAATGGGCAAGAACGAGAGATCAAGGCAGACGAATGGAGCAACTCTCCTTCACTTTAAACAAAATACAGCTCAAGTCAAGGCTACTACTCAAGCATTAGTCATCTTGGCTTGCGAAGGACAAACAATAATAGTAATAATATAAGTACCAATATGATAGTTCATTTTCAAATCGATGTAAACACAATATGTGAGAGATTTTTTAAAGGAGAACAAATATTCCCAAGCCAAGAAACACTAGTTAACTGAGTGAAGCAAAAATGAAGCCCCTTGAACAAGCCATATTAAACTTAAAAACAAAAAGAAATGGAGAGGGAAAAATAAAATATCTTTAAATTTGTGAAGAATGGCCTACATTGTCCCCTCTGTCTACAGGCTAGCCAGTCATTATGGTGATCTCTATAAATCAGGATCAGCTTGTATCCAAGGTGGAAAACATAAATTATGTGCTAGGAGATCTTGGAGAATCACATCTAAAACAGACCCAGCAGTTAAACCTACTGCAGAAGAGTGCCATTACCTTTAAAGACACAAGTAATGAAATATATTGATAAATTAATAGGAAGGGAAATACCATTTAACTGTGGATGAACCATCTAACTGGGGAAAATCAGATGGCTGTGGTAGAAAAAGCTGATGGAAAAATTTTAAATTGAATAGATCCTCATCCTTTGAATTCAGTTCTCAAGAGTGAGCAATTTAAATTGCCCACTTTTGAATAAATTTTACCTGAGTTTGTTCATGGAAAAATATGACCAAAACTCCTACTTGCGTGTAAAATCAGTTAACGAATCTAACAAATTGACAAATATGATCACACCATGTGGGTGGTCTAGATAGACTAGGTTACAATTTGAGCTAAACATAAGCAGTGATATATTTCAGAAAAAACTAATCCAGGCTTACAAGGATGTGTGAATATTGCAGGTGATATCATGATGGCTGATAGTAAAGAGACAATAGAAGAATCTGAGATGGAACATAAAAAAAAAAAAATACAATGTAAAGAGAACAATTATTTAATTCTCAATGAGGAAAAAGCTAAAATTGAACCGGTTGAGATAATATTTATGGATGAAATCATTAGTAAAAGGTAAGGTACCTCAGTGTTACCATTCAAAGAGAGGTCCGCTGGGATGAGCCTGTAAACAATGTGTGTAACCAGGCAAACAAGACACTTGGGTTCTTTAGGCGAAATCTAAAGATTGGCAACTCCAGTGTGAAGAAAGAGTCTATAAAGCTTTTGTGCTGCCGCTTTTAGATTACGCATCTTCAGTCTGGGACCCATTTACCCAGAAGAGCATCAACAGTTTGTAGGCGATTCAGTGACAGGCAGCATGCTTTGTCCTGAACCACTATAGAGTCTATAAAGCTTTTGTGCTGCCGCTTTTAGATTACGCATCTTCAGTCTGGGACCCATTTACCCAGAAGAGCATCAACAGTTTGTAGATGATTCAGTGACAGGCAGCATGCTTTGTCCTGAACCACTACAGGAATACCTCTAGTGTTGGCAGCATGCTAGAAAAACTGGCCTGGTCACCTTTGGAGGAACGATGACGACTATCCAGGGTCTCCATGATGAACAAGATAAATAATGGACTGGTCCACTGCTCTAGCATTAAACAGAAACTCATCTCTCTCCCCCATAGGCAGCAACGAGGCCATGAAAGTGACAGGCAGTTCCGGCTCATACCAGCAAGAAGCCAGTACAGGAACTGCTCATTCCTGCCAAAGACAGTCAGGGACTGGAACACACTTCCAAAAGGAACAGTGGAGGCAAAAACATTTGAAACATTTGCGTCTTTTGCCTCAGGCCTTCCAAATCCCAGTTCATGATACCTTCACCGAGTGGCCCTTGCAACCAGTGAAATATCCTCTTCAACACCAGGCACAGAAACATTGCAAATACCCTCTACATGCATAGGAGCCAGAATGCCCTTAAAATATAGAAGAAGAAGAAAGGTTTATTGAATTTGAAACTAAGAAAATATATCGTCTCACCATGGCTTGTATAAATATATGAGGATTAATTTATTTAAATATACAATCTATTTTAACAGTAAAATCTATGCACCACATAAATGTAATTTATTATTTAATTTATTGTTGCATATTGTAACATGAAGCACCTTCGTCACATTAAAATTTAGTTTTTGCAAATTATTATATTAATTTGTTAAAACTTTTATGGAAATAGTACATCCTTAAATCCCTTTTAAAAAATAGTTCAAATGAACAGCTACATTTTTCATAGTTGCTGGTTTATTACTTTGTGTACACTTATGATTCATGACATATTTTATCAGATACATAGCTGTTTTTGAAATGTTCTCAAACTAAATTTTTCATTTCAGGCTTGTTGAAAGGTTTCTCATGGATGGATAGTATCCTTTCATATATATAATAACATATTTTTGTTATTTATTAAAATAATATTTAAATTATTGTAACATAGCTTCCATATAAACAAAATTAAGAAATTAAATCCATTACAAAATTATTAATTTCAAAAGAATAAATTTACTAATCTATTATTACTTCAACCAACAGTTCCACTGCAAATTTTTTAATTCACTAATATATTATTTCAGTGGTTCCCAAACTTTTAAGTTTGGCGGACCGGTGAACAAGTTTTGAAATTTTACCAAGGACGGGTGCATGATTTATTTTTAAACTTTTATTTCTATTTGACAATAAATATTTATGTTATGGGGACCGGCAGCGTTAGGCATGCGGACCGGTGAAGGTCCAAGGACGGCCATTTGGGGACCACTGTATTATTTGATTTGATTTTGAGGTTATTGACTGGCTTAACTTATTAAGTAAACCACAACAGTTGTCAACATTCGCACTAACACTATTCAACTACAAATCACAGATTGATGGCAAAACAGTCTCAGTTGGTGAGGAATCTAGTTTGAAAAGATTTTAAATTTTGATAGGGCTACTGTTATGTTTGTATGAATAGAGCTCATACAAACATATCATGAAATCATATGATATTTCAAATAATAATTAACAAGGATTAGCTAAATTTTCCATTACTTACTATTAAAATGAATATCATATATAATTAATAGTTTTGATCAATTTTAGCACATGATTTTCCATCATTTTAATTTTTGAGGCAAGTTGAAATATTAATTGCAGATTTCTGGGACACTGCTGGTCAAGAGCGTTTCAACAGCATGCATCCATCATATTACCATCAAGCAAATGCATGTATTCTAGTAAGCGCAAATATTAATAGTTATACATTGTTGAGAAAAGGTCTAGCATGTGTTAGCTTTCTTATTGAATAGCTATAACTATGTTTAGAAATAATCTCATAGAGCTAACATCATTGACAAGCATTTAGATCTTAACAAATTAAATTTAATATTAACTTAAGGGCCAATTATTTTCTTTGATGGGACTTCATTTTACTTAATACCTTTCAGGTTTTCGACTGCACAAGAAAAATCACTTACAAAAACTTATCAGAATGGCTGAAAGACTTAAAAACCTATAGGCCAGAGATACCATGTTTGTGTGCTGCAAATAAGATTGATGGTAATTAAAAAAAAAAATTATAGTCTTATTTTATCTTTTATATAACATTCTAAACCACAGAACCTTAATTAGTTTAAAAATCTTCGAGGTAACACATTTTGTTATATTTTAATATGCAACTTTTTAATAATGAAAATTACTGTATATACTTGTATATTAGCTCCCTCATTCCTAAGCTGAAAGCATTAGTTTTGGCTTGAAAAAGCCTCAAATATTTAGCCGGCAAGAGCAATACGGTACAGAAGAAAATAATTTGTAAATAAAATATCATTTAAGTAAAACGACTTCAAAATAATGAACATACAGTATTATGTATAACACAAATATTCACTGCCTGTGTCTACTAGTATTAATCATACTCAGCATTTTAAAAAATAGGGCCTCGGTGATCTACTAAAACTATTTCAGGTACTTTGATAGCCAATCACGGCAAAATGAGAACAAAAAGTGTGACCCCATTTTTCCTCTCTTCCTATTTTGCAAACAGCTCTATGTTCACCTCTGTTATTAACTTTTTACTTCATTATTTTCTATAATAGAATCAACTTACCAGGAGAAAAATATAAAAATCTCGTTTGACCCACTCATAACAAAAACATGTTACTTCTTTCCCTGAAATATTTAAAAAATATTCAGCTTATGAATGAGAAACAAGGTAGATTAAAAAACAAACAACTCTCATCATTAAGAATTAGAATTTAATGCAATTAAACCACTATAAAGGAGAAAATAATTTAAAATTTCTTAAAATGGATTATTTAAAGAAAGACTGTGCGTTACTATTTCCAGGCTTTGCATTTTCATTTAGCTTACATTTAATTTCGCACCAATCGCTTGTCAGTTTTCCATTATTTTTTTTTTATTCAGGTCAAATGTACAAAACATTATGTAAAAAAAAATACGGGTTCTATAAATGCACTTATTTTTTCTCCCCTTGGGTTGAAACATAGAAAATGAGAAGATTTACTCTGTTTTTTTAACACCTAGACCTGGTTCCTGGTCTGTTATGTGCAGCATGTGCTAATACTCTGCAGTTCCAGGTATATGGGCCGATAATTGGCTCGGCCCTATTAAAATTGGGACCATTAAAATATCAACATGGGACTTTTAATTCATTATTATCATTGGTGGTCCTTGTTGATTTGAACCTTCTTGTTGAACATTTGTATCATCAGAGGACTTGAATACAACCAAAAAATCCTTTGCCTTTGCCAAGAAACATAATATGCCATTCTACTATGTGTCAGCTGCTGATGGGACTAATGTTGTCAGGGTAAGTAGCTCTCAAAAGGGAGGTTACCACAAATCACATTTTACATCTTTTCCTTAAACCAGTGGTTCTCAACCTTTGTAATGCCGCGACCCTTTAACACAGTGCCTCATGTTGTGGCGACCCCTAACCACAAAATTTTTATCGTTGCTGCTTCATAACTGTTTTGTATATGTGTTTTCCGATGGTCTTAGGCGACCCCTCTGAAAGGGTCATTCGACCCCCAAAGGGGTCGCGATCCATAGGTTGAGAACCACTGCCTTAAACTTATTTCTATAGTGTGAATATATGGCCTTGTTTAGTGGTGGCCTTTCTGTGGTGCAACTAAATCTTGTAATAAATGACCTAGTTTGGTTGTGACTTACTGTGGTGCAGCTGAATTAGAATCGTGCCCCATTCAACAATAATATTTAAAATTTTAATCATTACTGGTTTCAATATAGAGATTATGCTCCACCTGAAAAAAATTGCCATGACTATGGCTGACCAAGTTTGATCTCTTAACATTTGGTTATAGTCTGTAAAACTTTGTGATAGTTATTATTCCATGAAGATTATTAAGTATTACTACCATATTGTTCAAGTTTAACTTTCATAATGCTCTCCTTATTTTAATTGTTTGTGATTAAATATTCCAGGATTAAATCAAGAATAATTTAGTAATCATTATTACACAGCTGGAATCAAGGTTTGAATTAAATCACGTCTTGTTCATCAAAGTACATCTTATATTCTAGAATCCTCTCTCTGTTAACGTGGTTTAATATCTGATGCAGACACCTATAGGAATTGAATAAGTTGGTATTGATATCAATTTCAAGTAACCTGAACATCCTCACCTATAGCAAAAATTTCAAATGGAATGTCTTGATTGTTCTCATCTATGGATCAGAGTGCATTAAAACCATTAATGTGTCAGCAGGCCTGAGGAGATGGGGGTGCAGCCGGTACATTGTTCCAGGCCTGTGAAGCTCAAAGGGGGCACATGATGGGGAATTTTAAAAAATTATTTCCATATCCAAAGTTTTTAAAAGAAAAACAATATTGGATATATACTTCATACTCTATACTTTGTGTGTATAGTTAAAACCCCCTTGCAGCCTTCTTTGACATTAATAGCCTTGTTTTTACTGGAATTCCTACAACATTTCCTGAACATATAGATAATCAGGTTTTTTCCTGAAAGTATTTTAACATTTCGAAGTTAAAATAGTGAAAAAACATGACAGAGATTGGTTTGCCGGGAGTTGTAGCAATAACTCATCCTCTAAATCTATGCTTGCATCAACAGAAGGGTGGTCAGCAGCTAAAAAGTGGTGAAAATTATGTAATCGCATCCCAGAAATTGAGAGAAGCAATCTTATAGGCAGTGCTATCTGGCTTTGCGATAATTAGAAAGACACCTGTCATCTGGCAAAGACATTTACAGTCTTTTGGAGGCATCAATTGAAACAGAATCTGTTAAGTGGTACCGGTACAACATAATGAAACAAATCATTGATGTTGTACTATTCCTAGATGAAGGAGGATTGCTTTGCATGACAGTTCTCAGCGAATTGATAAAAAAGACAATGGTAATTTCTGGGAGTCGTAGAATTGTTGTCTCAGTGGAATCCAATTCTAAAAATACATGCCTCACAAGAAAAGGAAAAACAACTTTACATTATCTCAAAGCTGATTCTCAAACAAGTTAATTGCTAATGTTCCTCACTTGTAAGTCAACACATGTTGGAGGACACGAAAGCAGCAAAGTATGATGCTGTTTTTGTTGACTAAACATCAGACTCATCCCATGTTGAAAAAACAAAATTTCTTAAGCACTGTGTAATATTATATAAAAGTTTTAAAAGCCACTATGAAATTTTAGAAAGATTTTTACAGTTTGTGGACATGAGCCATAAAACAGGATATGACATAGCACAGATGATAATAGAAACATTGAAAGAACCCAATATTCCACTGTTGGATTGTCCTACACAGGGATATGACAATGTGGCCAAAATATAAAGTTACACAACCAAGAATATATGAGCAATGTGAAACAGCTTTACTTTGACCATTTGGATGGCACACAATTAATTTGTGTGGAAATGATGCAGCAGAAGGCAGAAAGCCACAACTTTGGAACTGTACAAGCTGTTGACATCTTGTTTAGTTCTAGTCCACAGCGATGGGAAATCTTGCTGAAGTGTATTGGCTGTTCTCTTCACGGCATGTCTAACACCATGGTCAAACCATGTTGAAAATATAAAGCCATTTATAGCTCACCTGCCAGGCATCAAATAAATTAGCATTAGAAAACCTCTTGAAGTTGAACCTAACTGCCAAAACAATAGCAGAGATAAATGCAGCTTTGTTGTATATCACATTCTTCATTAGTGTGATAATTTCTGTTGTATGGTACAAGTATTAGTTCCAGTTGATGTCTGTAACAAAGTTATTCAGTCCAAAAATGCAACGCTGGATGTCAAAGTGTCCAACTTAAAAAGCTTGATTTCAGAAGTGACAAATCTTCGAAACAACTGGCAAAGTATGTGGAGTGAAGCGAAGCATGTTGCTTCTAATTCGACACATAGAAGTGGCACTTTCTTGAACTTGGGGTGAAGCAAAAGAAAGAAGTTCGATGATGAAGGTGCTACAGAATAAGCAGATTTGTTTAAACAAGATGAAATGATGAATCTCTTGAGGAATCTTATTTCAGAAATTCTGTCTATGTAATATTGGATATTATTGGTGGAGTCACTGTTCGTTTCAATTCCGCAATGAACATTTCTGAGAAGTTCAGCTTTCTCTGGAAGTACCTATCAATTCCTCAAGATGAACTGAAAGAAAAGACAAAATTACTGGCAGACAAAAATTCTGCTGATATCAGTGAGGATCTTGTAATGGAGATAAGTCATTTGTAATTTGTTCATCAAGCAAATTTTAGAGAACACCAACTGAGTCCATTGGAGCTATTGAATAGCTAGAAAGGATACAAGCTGGAAGGACTCTTTCCAAATAAATTCTCCTACCTCCGTAGTCTGTTAATAACTCCTCCCACTGTCAAAGTGCTCATTCAGCAAAGTAAAGCTGATAAAAATTGCCTAAGGTGGTACTGGTACATTTAGGGAGTCTCAGTATTGAGTCTGATCTTGCAAAATAGATTGATTGAATGATGTGATTTGCAATTTTGCAAGGAAAAGGGCAAGGAAATTACCTTTGTTTAGCAGAATATAAATGCCATTACATCCCAACTATAATAAATTGTATGACATTGTAATCAATCTAGTTGAAAATTCATGACTCATGCATACTGTTTCATTATATTTTATAAACTAATGTGTATTGTTTTTATTATCTTTTACATAAGCATTTGTCCTCTTTTTAATATATTTTGAAGCATGCTTGAAATTAATTAATATATTATTACATAATTGATTTATGCATCCATGTTAAGTTGAGGGGCCCATTTTGAGTCTTGTTCCAGTACTTAATAATCCTGTCAGTGGCCTTACATATCAGAACTGAAGTTGCAACTTTTTCAGACCAAATGCCTACATGGGATTTATATAATCTTTTGGCCAAAGACGATCTCCAATGAAGTACAGTGACTCTGAGTTAGTGACAACTAATGAATGCAGTGCGGGAGGTGGCTTGATCATTGTAATAAAATGCCACCAAACTGATTTCCCAGGATAGCATTAATATGAATATTTAAGGGAAACTGCAAAACCAAAGACCCAAAGAAACCTGTAGCAGCATGATAGTGGAATAGAAGACAGCCTTGATAGAAGTAGCCATTAGACTGAAAAGGTTTTCCCTGGCCCTTGTGTCAAGCACACAGGTGGCACACAAACACTGAATGAATAAATGAACCTATTAATGTGTTTCTCTACATCAATATTATCCATTCACAGTTATTTAAAGATTCTATCAGAGCAGCATTGGCCTACAAGCATAATTCCACAGACTTTATGGATGAGATTATGAAAGAGCTTGAGGTATGTGATATTTATATTGGGTAATAAGGGGAGAGACTGCAATCAGGTTAGTACAAATAAAATGAGTAAAACAGAGTATGGTTAAACCTGAAAAATTAAACGCAACAAAACAGCGAACGTGTCGGCAGAAAGCCTTCGTCAGCGAACAAAACAACAGAAAAAACGTTATAAAAATAAGAAATAGCACTTAGCTGGTAAGTAGTATCTACTTCTATTGCTGCCCACAGATACTACTTACCAGCTAAGTGCTATTTCTTATTTTTATACCGTTTTTTCTGTTGTTTTGTTCGCTGACGAAGGCTTTCTGCCGACACGTTCGCTGTTTTGTTGCGTTTAATTTTTCAGGTTTAACCATACTCTGTTTTACTCATTTTATTTGATATTTATATTGCAATTTTATGTTAGTAGGATTGTACCAAAAGAAAATAACAGATGAATTATATCAGCCTTATTATTTATATTAAGAAATCAACTATGGTTCAATAAAGAAAACAGATCAAACAGTAGCAGGAAGAAAAGTTTATAGAATTATAGTAATAAAAATTCACCTATTGATTTCACGCATTGTTTTGTTCTTCAGAACTTTGAGTTGGATCCAATCCCAAGTAAAGCAAAAGACAAGAACTCTCAAGACACGGAAGAGGATAAGAAAATTGTCACCATAGAAAACAGCTGATAATTGCTGTGAATAGTTGCTGGGGTAATAGTTACTATAGGGATTTCTGTCAGTCAGCTGCTGGCTAGCACTAATTAAATATGAATTTATTCACCGTCCCTACTTATTTCTGAAGATTCTTTTGATTTAGTGTTATTCATTTTGAGGTCAACAGCATGATTGACTGTTCTTCCTTACAGAAGATTAGGAAAGTACAACTGCTTTATTTCTTACAATTTTCCGTGGAGTCAAGCCTTGTACAGATATTTGTCTCATTGTTTTTTTTTGTATCTAATATGAACTACATTTACATAGAGGTTGTGTATGAACTAACAGATTAATGTAATGAGATTTTGTTTAAATGGCTGTGGTTAATACATCACAATTTTGGAAAAAAAATGCTTTAAAAAAAACTCAGTACATTGATTTTTTTACCAAAGACACATAAAATGATCAGTTATGTTAAACTTGCACAAAGATTTAGTATGGCTATAACAGCCCATTTTCATCTATACTATTGTTTTTATACTCAATTTGAAAAGCATTATCAGCAATTATGTTTATTTTGCTAGTCATTACAATGTCAGATAAAGCTACAGGATATTATAAACCCAATTGACCTATGCATAACGTATTGTGTCGCAAAGAATTTTGATTTACCTAATGGTTATTTGAATCATAAACAGATTATTTTGTAAGCATGTGTAGTTTTTCTAAAGAAATATTTGACAAATAAGAAAATGTTTTACACTACAGGTTGTATGATATTTCAAATTTGAATGTGTGTAATTATGTCAGCATTTTTCAAACTTTTATCTTGTAGTTGAAGCAGTCTGAAGCAAATAGTTAAAATTGATTGGCACACCATTGTAGTATCAAGAAATAATTAACTATCTGTGAAAAGCAGTTCCCAAGCCACTTTGTATTATTAAATTAGATGAATTATATTTAAGGTACCATATTACTTTGAACGACCCCACATTGACTTGTGAAATTCCCCCAAAATACTTCTTTTTACATCAATTTGAATTAAAATCTGGCAACACAACTGTCAGCCTTCTGCTACACAATATGTTTTCACTAAGAAACATCAAAGTATAATTACATAATCAAATGTTTTTCTTTTTTAATATAATACTTAAAATATATAAGTATAAGGAGTCTGAAAATGTGGTACTTTTAAATTTTAATTAAAAATCATGATCATTGGTAAAAAATTAAAACTCATTTTTTTGGTAGTTGATATATTTTTATATTCTGCATTTCATTTTGTACAAGCAACTTTTACTTTACTAGTTATTTTTAAAAAAACAACAATTTATTCTGACTTGATATAAATATTTACTTTTTACTTCTGTACCTTAGCTTTAGCTAATGCATCAAAGAGACTGTGATACTTTGAGATAATTTATTTTGTCGTGGTTCATTAGTGAGTAGTTCTAACATCTGATTTACGTGTTTTAGAAATTTATGTGTTAAAATAACTTTTTAGTCATTTTTATTTAAACATGAAGGTATCATTTCAAATTTACTGTAGCAGAAATATCATTTATTCTTTTTCAAATTTCCAGTAATATTTTACTGCATTGAAAATTGTGTGACTTTCATGTACATAGCCAAACTAAAAATTAACAATCATTTTATATTTACAAGTTATTTCTTCCACATGGTAATATGTTGAAAAAGTGGCAGACAAATTTAATTTCTTTATATTTAATTACCATTTTTTAAATAACTTTAATAAAGTTTTTCAGGAGCTGTTTACCTAATGATTGTCAGATTTTTAAAAAAGTAGAGCAAATTTAGTGTTTGATTTAAAGGGTGTCCAGTGCCATCAGGCATAATAAGTTTGTGTAAGTGAATTTTAAAAATGTTGTTTGACACATTTTTAAAACATTGTCACCCACCCTCTATGAAATTTGGCAAGATGATTTGAAAGCTCGAATAACGATTGCTACTCTCTTACCATCTCGTTTTCATTCTTAGTATAGGGCTAGTCTTACTGTATGGTCCTGAGTAAGAGATTCATTTCTCTCTCTTAACACAGATGCACTTTAGTTTGTCTCATTGTTATTGCGATGAGCTAAATGTCATTTCATTCAAAGTTTGCATGTACCACATTGACGATGGGATGTTTGCATTTGAATGAAAAAGGATTTGACATGTGAAGTATGTGTATTCTACATATCTGTCAGTTAAGATTTATGTATATGGTGCATGAGGACAAAATAAACTTTTGCGTAATATTAATCTCTTGAATCGAGTCCTTTGTTCTGATTGATATCAATATTTTAGGCAAGCAAAATAAATCAAAGCTGCATTTTTCTGGAGAAACTTTTTCTTAACTCTGTGTTCCCAAACTATTTTGCAATGAGTCACACTCTTTAATAAAAATTGTTTTAAAATTACATGGATTCAATATCTTCAATTTTTTAATTAACTCTCTGCATTGCTTTTTTATAGTGCAAGAGGAATTGTCGCCACCAAGTCATTTCAAAGGATGAATAAATGAAAATTTACTGGAACACAAACTTTTTAAAATCTTTACAGAGTAAAATACAATGAGCTATGAATATGTAATTCTAAATCAAAATTAAATCTGTTGATTTCAAGAAATCTGAATCCATTTTGTGAGGAGGCCTTGAAGAAAGTGCGAGACCATCAGTAACTTGGTTTATATTTTAATTTAATGTTAATTAACTTTTTGTTTTTTTAATATTTAAAATCTATGTGATATTGCATAAAATGTTAGGCCTTCAGAAAACTGCACATCATATCAAACATAACTAAATGAATTAACTTGGAAAAATGTGTTTAATTTTTAAAATCACTTTAAAGTTTTGATTTAATTTACCATCAGCCATTTTGTTGCAACATTGATCTGTATGCTTATGCTTGGAAACTAGTACTTAAGTACGTTCCCTGGTAGACCGGATAAGTGAGGTACTATCTAAGTAGCAGGTACCATTTGGGAAGTTATCTGAGGAATGGTAGCTTTGAATGAGCTCAAGTTCCACGGAAGATAACTCGAAGACATGAGTCCAGGTGACCAGGTTGAACGTGGGCCAAAGGGGTTAATCACTCAATGCTGCTTGTTTTTCATTCAAGATCAGGTATACCATTGCAAAAAATAATTAATGTGTCCTGGAATAGATAGACAATACACTGAAAGGTTTTCACAGATAAGAGACACCAATAGATATCTTTAACACTGTTTATTAGACTGTGTTACTCTGTACAAGAATATCCTTATATGTAAAATGAAGACAGTTTCATAGTACAACATGTACCTATGTATAGACTATAAATCAAGATATAGCATATAAACTAACAGCCATGTAACAGTGCTCCCAACACTGGTTGAAATTATAAAATTAAATTTTAACATTTCAATTCGCTTAGTGAAATTACATTATCAAACTCAGATTTCATAACATTAACAAAAAGTGAAGATCCTCATTTTAAAATACTATAATCTGGATTGTCTTTGGTTTTTCTCCCCATTCATATTTAAAAAATAAATAAATATAATTTAAGTTAGATATGAATTTTATTATTGTATAAGTTTATATCTTATAATGAAAAAGATTTAACAAATACACTGGTAAATCAATAGCATGCCCTTTGATAGAACAAGGACATCTTATGGAGCCCACCCAATCTTTAGTACATTCAGATAATCTTTCTTTCTTTCTATTTTTTTTTTTTTTTTGGTGTGAATTTATTGTCTAATACACAGTATAAGTTGCAAATAAAAGAGAGAAGGCATGAAACAATGGTCTATCACAATGGTTTTTTTTTAAATTAAAAAAAACAACACAAAACCTTCATTAATTCAGATAATCTTTCTTTCTTTCTATTTTTTTTTTTTTTTGGTGTGAATTTATTGTCTAATACACAGTATAAGTTGCAAATAAAAGAGAGAAGGCATGAAACAATGGTCTATCACAATGGTTTTTTTTTAAATTAAAAAAGACAACAGCACACCTTCATTAGTGAACATCTTCATGTCCTGAACATCATGTTTGCATGCTAAAGACTGCAACTTTTTTTACTACTAAAGTTCGCTTAGAAGATTTTCTTTATTGGTAAAAAAAAAGGATACTTAGTTTAGAAATGCCTCTTGTAGCTTTAAAATTAAGTTCATATGAAGGAGATGATTGACTAAATGAACATGCAATCTCATATCAAATTTTTGAGTATCTACGATGGTAGGCAACTCAAAAAAATTCAAAATGCATTTTAGTTGAACTTTAATTTGTTAGTAAGCTATTAAATGCTGAAAAACCAGATGGATAAGGTGTGCATGTTGTAAAGAGAGCAGTCATGTGACATGGGTAATGGATCCCATATACATTACTACTTAATCCCATATACATTACTGCTCAATCTTCTTTTTGACCCCAAGATTATATGGAGCCACTAATGTAGTTTTCAACGGCCAAAGAAATCTTTCCTGGTTGACATTTCCAACAACATTTCAAACTGGAAGGTACACTTTGGGGGATAAATCTATTTTAAGGTTATAGATGTTGTATATATTATTACATATATATAAATATATAATATAAAATAACAATTTACTTACATTTTGCCATATAACACAATGAACTACACATTTTATATGTAAACAATATCAGTCTGTGTCTTATCTTTTTCCACTCCTCATATTGGCATTTGGATGACATTGTGTTTTATGTATAGGGCTTCCTAGGTATTGAAAATAAACCAAATGCAAGAGCTCATATGTTTCTTTGCAATATAGCATGAATAATACATTTCTGAATTCTATTAAGTTTCAAGCTGTTGCCTTTTTGAAATGAGCAAGATGTTAACTGGGAGATGGCAACTTAGAATCGTATGATTGCCCCTTTAAACGAGTTGCTGCTGTCCAAAGTTTAATGTGTACAATGCTAATATATTTGCAGTTATATACAGACGAAATATTACTGACAACAAATAGCTCATGTATCAACATGGCATAAATGAATATTTTAAATTTAATTTTACCTCACATGCACCCAAGTGCTTGAAAGACACAGCCTTTAAAAAGAATCCAAAGTTGTAATAATAAAAAAATTGTAAAAGCTGGTTTGTCAACTCTATACCTTAATTTACTTTAAATTTTACATTATATTTATATTCAAGTAAATTTCTCCAAGACTTAATTCCGTCAAATCTTTAAAAATTAAATGAAATCAGCCATGTAATTATAAGTATGATCAAACATATACCAATAACATGGCATTCTTCTTAAAAAATGTAGAATAAATCATATTAAATCTGGGATACAAGTGATTAACAGTTGAAGTTTTATTCCGTAATGAAAATCACATTTCATTTTTATTGGAGAGAAATGTTTGAGTTGTATTAAATGAAAGATTAATTTTCACAAGTGGCTTTCATTAGTTTTATATGTTGAAATACATATTAATATACTATCAGTTGGAATGTGAGGTATAAGGAATGTAACCAAGAAAAGGCAAATATGATTAACACCTTGGAACTTTCAACCTGAGCTCCACCACAATGATACAGCACTCTAGGAATAATATATTATACATTTTAACATGAGCAATTACAAGTTTCGGTTATTTGAAAAAAAAAGGTGAAATATTTTGGCTTAGGTCATACATACTAAAATAATGGTTATAAAAAATAATATTTATGTTTGCTTAGAAAATACATTTTTAATAGCTTTTTCAACACCAGAAAAACAATGATGAGTTAGATTAGACGTTTTTAATATTACCTTTTTTTTCCTCTACAAAATGAGTACATGCATTTATCTTTATTTCATAATGGCCCACTACACAAAAATAAGTTTTTCACATTCGTATCACAAGAATTAAAAATAATAAATTGCTAGCTACATTAAGGATATTCAATGTTACATAAAAAAAACTAGTGATAAATAAGAAGGAAAAAATATACAACAGTCGGCAAACAAGCACTGTAGCTCAAGTGCAGCTCAGTATCTGTAAAGCTGGTCTAGCAAAATCTCTATGCTACTGGCTCTCAACCTCAAGTACAAATTTTACTGGAAGTTTTTTTTTAAAAGGGAAACGTCAAATTGTAATTAAATTAATGGCATCAAAGGATATCATGGCACCATGCACATTTCCATTTAAAGGCCGTGAAATAAAATGATTAGGTTCCAATGCCATTTTACTTAACGACCCTCTCAATAGAAATACAATCCATTTTTAACTTCTATACTGTCATAAAAGCAACAATTATATAATGAATCAAGGGCTCTTCTTCTCAATACAGTGACCAAAAAAACAGGACAAATAGTAAATAAATACAAACTTATGACTAATATTTCTTGGTATTTACACAAGACAGGTAAATGCTTTTTAAACATGAGGCAGCTGATGGTATGTGATACATTTGAACCCAAATAGTTTTTTTTAGATGATATTAACAGATTTTTTAATGGCAGTTAATGTCATTTTAAAAAATTAAAAAAAATCATAAATGAGTGGGATAATCTTAGTAACAGAATTTAACCCCCCCCCCCCCCCCACCCCCACTCCCCCCAAACCTCATTTTGTTATTTTTAATGGCAGTTAATGTCATTTTAAAAAATTAAAAAAAAACATAAATGAGTGGGAAAATCTTAGTAACAAAATTTAACCCCCCCCCCCCCCCCACCCCCACTCCCCCCAAACCTCATTTTGTTTGTCATTTAATAATAGAAATATTTTGAAAAATTAATAGGTCACTCAAAAAATATGAAGTTGGAGACTTAGATACAAATAATGAATATACTGTTAAACTAGAAATATTGTTTTAAAAAAGAGAGAATATTTTTACTCACAAAAGAGTAAGATGGTTGGTGCACGATAACATGCAATGTCAAATAACTTTACAGATTCAAATAATTGTAAGTAATGGACATGACCGAACTACAATGTTGCTTATCAAAATATATGAAAAATTATTTGCTCAGTTTAAATTAATCAACATGATTTGCTCATTTGAATCTCTTTAAAAATTGGAGAATTTCATTCAATATTAGTCTCTCCCCTTCATTGAACAATTTTAATATTGACAGGACACATTTAAAAGACTAGAACAAAATGAAAGCTTATAAGTAATAGCAACAAATACATGGAATATCAAAGTTTTCATACATTAAACAATAAGACTTGCAATTAACTAACATAATTATAATAATGAGCCAAGAGAATGTAGGATGAAAGATCTTTTTTCTTTTCTTTTTTTAATAGTCTCACTGAGAGCATATTTCCTTGTTAAGAAATTCATTTTATTAGCAGTACTCGGGAGATAAATACTATGCCTCAGGGGCAGCACACAAATGCATTTAACAAAATGTCCAAATCTCACTGCGCACCCCACACTTTATTTGAGGCTATTCATAAAAAGTAACAGTAGAATTTGACTAAACTAGCACAAGTTACTTTGATTAGTCAACTGACTAATTTAAAGAGCCGTTTCACATGAATAGCTGCTAACGCGCCGATTATCCCATC